TTACTCTCTGAGTGGTGATTTGGGAGATTTATGAAAAGAGGAGTTGGTAGAGGGTGCATGAGTAGGGGAGGGATTATCACCTGAAAGATTTGAGTTCTGAAGACAATGGCATTTCAGAAAAGGACTGAATCACAGAAATATTTTTATTGTTAACAGAATGATAAATTGAAAAACACCATAGGCTGTATTATGCAGCTTCAGCTGGAATAGGCCATGTGTGTCAAAACACTGTATGTGATTTTAAAAAATCTGTATCTGTAAGGATAAAATTACAGGAAATGCTTTAGGGACTCTTCAGACCTTAGACCCTGAAAGTGGCTATAAAATTTGTACCCTCTTGGAGATAACCTTCAAGAAAAGCTGTGCTTTATACTTCAGTTTTTATTGGGAATAGACTTGTGTGTGTACCTAATTAAAAGACAAGATTTATTTCATTGTCTTCTTTTCCTTTTAATTAGCCTAGTCTCTTGGATACTGTATGCCACTGTGTAAAGTGTCATTTGAAACTTTAAAAAGTAAATTTTTTTTTAAAAATGTTTTGCTGTTGCCAGAAAGGATTTGATGTATTCAATGCACTAGACTTAATGGAAAACAAAACATTCCTGGAAAAACTCAAGTTCGGGATTGGAGATGGAAATTTGCAGTATTATTTGTACAACTGGAGGTGTCCGGGCATGGAATCTGAAAAGGTAAAGGAGAAAAAAGAGTTTCTGAATTCTATTAGATGTAATTGTACATTAATCTACACTGGCCAAAAATGGGCAGAAGTTTTAAAATAACTTTTTTAATTGGCCCTTTTTATGATCCATAATTGAGGTGCAGGAAACTACTGATTTTAAGATTTATTGCTATACTTGAACTAAAATACTATTTTTTTCTTCTTTCTTTAGGTTGGTCTTGTATTACAATGAGGACACTCACATTTCTAGAACTCTGAGGTCATCGTTTTGAGTTAATTTGATCTCCATAACTCTTGGAATGGTATTGTTCAAGAGGAGTAAAAGCACAACGTCGGTGATACTGAAATAGTCCATTAAATCTGAACAATGAAAACATCCACATGTGACCAAATTTATGCATTTTCAGATAGATCAGAAGGCCCATGAAACTCTTCTATTGTCCATGAAAAGAATAAAAAGCACATTCATTTAAGTTTCAAAGCTTAGCTTGCACCTTGATGAGAAGAAGGTATTTTTTTCCACTCTGTAGAAAAGACTGTTTTGTACAAACTGAACTTCAGTGGTGGATTAGGGTACAAAAATATTTGCTATTATGTGGATGAACTGCTGCATTTCTATTTATTAAGTGGTGGTGTATGTTTGTCAGTGTAACCGAATGAAGGATACCAATTTGAGTATCTTTGCTTATTTACTTCACGTGGATGTCATCATTTGGGGGAAAATCAAGAAGTACGATACGTTTGTAGCTCTGTGAAAGTCCTGGATGCTTTTGTAACTGGAGCAGTATGACAATGTACTGGTTTAACTAGTGCATTTGTTTCTCCATAAGCAACGCTGCCAAATCAATAAAAAATACAGATTTGTACTTTGATCTTCAATAGATCAGTGGATTGATTTAACAGTATCGCACTGTTCAGTGCAGGTGTTATCTATGTTGCCGGAATGATAATACATTACTGTACTTAATTTACAGTTGTGGCACAAAACCTTAGTTTTTCCTCAGTAGAATAACATCAGCCTGTGTGTAAAACTAAGAATTTTAGTAGTGCTATCAGGATGTTTATAGTTTGAATGTTTTCAACGCTTCTGCGAAATTGCACATATTCCTTTGTCTACTTTGATTTCCTATGAAGTCTGTAATTCTAATGAAAAGTATCTTGTGTAAATATGTATTCATAAATTGTTCCTGGTAGTGTTTTTATCCTGAATTTGGAACAAGAAGTTTTGCTATATATATGTGGCTGGTAAGCAGAAGAGAAATGCTCTGCCCTCAGTCCTTGGAAGTCTCTGTAACTGCACTTCCTGAAATGTAGGAGGGCTGATCTTTATTGTTGGGTGGAGCTGTTTTAATTCCCTCATGAATGCTCAGCAACGGGAGTGGCTTCTGAAGCACTTTATATGCATTCCAGCGTAGTGTCATAGCTAGATATGATAGCAGTTCTTTCAGCTCATGGATGCTGCAGTAATGGGAGCACTGAGAAAATCTGCATTAAGAAACTGTTCTAGCTGAAAGTGCCAAATTGTGGTAGTGAAGCCTCTGTGCTGTGAGCATCTTTTGAATGTGACTTGAATATCTCATGAAATGCAAATGTCTAACTTTCCTTTTAAACATGCCTGTAATTCTGACAGCAGATTTTGCTGAAAGTTTAATTCTGTACATGAAGATAAATTTGTCTGTTCTTCATAACTGATAGCCCTACCCACCTCCTTGTAGCAGTGGGGTTTTTCTTTCTTCCTGCTCCTTTTCCAATGTGTGAATGGTTTGTGTTTTGGTTTATTTTTCTTGTTGAATTGTGGTGAGAGGATTCTGCCCTAGAAACAGTGATACTTTCCCTTACTGCATTATAGCTCTGTGATTAAAGCATCCGACCTCCTTCAAACAAAGGAAGGGACTGAATGTGGTTTGTCTGACTCCTGGGTGTGCACCAGCTTGGGACCTCATGAATTTAAAAGGACTTCAAAGGAGATCTAATGGTGCAGTTGGGCTTTATGTCTCTGGCCACTCTGATACCTGTCTGCTAGTAGCAGTTACAACAGATGGTGCAGAGGAAGTTTGGACTCTATATGTGAGGCCTGAGGAGAATTAAGTGCCTGAAAATATCATTGATGGTAGTGGTATCTGAGATAACAAGAAGGATTTAATCTCAACTCCGTTAAAAGACTTAAGTTTTTAACTCCCAAAAGGCATGAAGGTGCCCCCCTGGCAGGGCATTCTCACTGGAGCCCTCTGGGATGAGGAGGAAGTTCACCAAGGGGCTCAGTGTGGGCTGCTTAGGTTCTAAGGGCAGAGCCTTGTCAATCCTTGCTCAGGGCTGCCTAATGTGAGGTGGGACAGCAGAGCACAGCTCTGTCCTCATGTATAAGGTACTTCCTTGCTAAGAAACAGTCACAACCCAGCTCTTCCTAATCTGGATGGGTGGTGTTGAATGCCAGGTGGAAGATACACTCATGTTCTCTGCCTTCCTTCCCCTCAAAAAAATGCACGTGGAAGAAATGTAAGGCTGGTGTTTTCTTTTCTCATCTCTTCTCTGAAATCGGAAGGCAAATCCTCCCAAGTACTGTTGTTTGTAAAATTGAGGCCATGATGTGACCAATTCTGCCCTGGTAGAAGACAGACTTGAACCTGGGTTTCCTGCAGCCTGGCTTTCTGCCCAAATCTACAGGTTAGGGCACATGAAGAAAGGAGTGTGGCCACTCTTTTGCTCTGTTCTGGTAAAACAGTGCCATTTGCTTCTGAATGCAAGGGGTAAACTTCTATCTCATTTTCCAGCTCACTTTCCATGTTAACTGAGGGTAGGGAGGGCAGAGGTATGCTCCTGTAGAAGCTGTGCAGCACTCTAACTGGGAGCAAATTTATCGGTCAGAGCATGAGGGAAGTGGGCAGCTGAGCCTGAGTGCTGGGGCAGTTCCTGGAGAGTTCTGTTCATGAACCTGTGTGTTACCTAACAGCTATGCAATCCAGCATGGTCTCTTCTGTCCCTGTTGAGTGCTCTTCACCTCGAAGAAGTACTGCTTTGCTGAAGTATCACAGCATCAAGAGGACATGAATCTTGAAGGTGTCCCAGCCTACACGCACACAGTAAGACAGTTACTCGGGAGGTGAAAATTGTGGCAACTCACTTTCGCTTTCTAAGCAGGTATTTAACAATAGATGAATATCTGTGTGAGTGTCACTGTCAGCAGCTCAATAAGAGAGGCTGTTCTGTTGTTTCCAAACTTGAACCTGTGCATTAGGCTTGCTATAAAGATAAGACTCCTCAAAACCCAATAGGTGTTTGTACAAAAATTGGCAAGTGTAAGGCTTGCTCCACCACCTTTCCCACCCGCCTTTTTAAATATCTTTTGATGTTGAAGAAAGAACATCATTTCTTTCCCAAAGTAACTTCCTATCTTCAGAGGGGACACAAATCCCTGAAGACAGATCCCTGCAGGCAGGCAGCAAAGTGCTTGAAAGATGATTGCTGTGCTTATGTTCTTTACCAAAGCTAATCCTTGTGCTCTGTGTAAATGCTAAGACTTCTGTGTTACGGTTAGCCAGCCTGGGAATGAAATACACTAGTGCTAGCATGCCTTCCAAGTTTTATTCATCCAGAAAGCCAGAACGAAGGACATGTATGAAGGACTACAAAGCAAGGGAAAAAAACCCTTGCCTCTTCTTGCCACCCTCAGACAAGGACAAAAATTTTAGCATTGAATGTTTTGTTTAAACTTCAAGGAGCATCATGACTACAGAATCATTGCTATTGTCTGCCTTTGTAGTTGGTATCATGGACTTAAGCAATTTCTAAATAAATCCAAGAGACAGATGAGCTATCGGATGGCACTGGAAGTTTGGATCAACAAATCTCTGAAAACTATGTGTAAATTCCACCTTTAAGGAACTACAAAGTAACTCAGTTATTTTAAGCTTTCTTTTACAAGTAAATTCCTAGGCTGTTGATTGTCTGAATTGCAGCAATATTCCCCTTCCTTACTATAATACAACTGTCTCATTAGGAAACTGTTCATAGTCCCCAGTAAAACTAAAGGAAAATCAAAAGTTACGTGGTATGTTTTCAGTCTTGTAGGACTTATAGCTCTCATCTACTTTATATACAACAGTATATGGCTTATCTCAATTTCCTGGGAAATAATTTTAGACTTCCTTTAGAAATCTAATTGAGTTTAGATTTACATTTTCTTACAGGAATTGTGTTAATAATGGAAGTATTTTTTTTCATACTGCAGCAGTAGTAATTTGGTTGTGTTTTGTATTTGAAAATAAAGCTTTTCCTCCAGCATACCCTACACCAGGTATCAGGTGAAACCCAAGTCTGCATACATTTGTGACCAAAACAAGTTTATTGTTCAGCAGAAAAAACTATAATAGAGTTCAAAAGGGAAGTCTGCCTGTGCTGTTACAGCTGTTTACTTGAAACCAGCTTTAAAAGACTTATACTGGCATGGACCTTTGTTTAAATAAACTTTCACTTTTGGTATTGATTTGTTTGAGTAATTATACTTAAATCTGTTTTGCTTAAAGCATGCTCATCTGTGTAAAGATACAAAGTTCATTTAATGCTTTGCATTAATTCCAGAGATGTATTAATTATCTCTTAAAATTACTTAGCTATGTTCATTGCCAACTTTAATATCTGATCTCCAGCTACAAATGAAATAGTTACCCCCAGGTACAGACTGACACTTAAGTCTGAGCAATATTCTTTATTAAAGCAGAAAGTACCTCAACCGAATGCAACATAAAATTCACCTTGTATTCAAAAGCTTTACACTGTAAAGCCTAAAAAGATTGTTCAGTTAGGACTGTGCTCCATTCTGCATGTAAAAAATCAGTTTAATAGAACCAAACTATAATCAGTTATGCTGAAAAAGCTTTTTTCTTTTTGCGAGGTGGTTTCTTTATCTTATTGGGGTTTGGGACAAGTTTCTTGATTTTCAAAGGCTGCAAAATTACATTTGAAAGATCAGGCTGATTGCTTTCTGTACGCTTCCGCTTCTGGCTTGTGAGCTCATCCCCCAGTGCCTCTGCAAGCTCGTCAGGTTCCTCGTTTTCTGAAGAATCTGTATCTGCATAAGCCACAGATTCTTCAGTTCTGTACTGAAACCACGGCACTTCCAGTGCTGGTATCTTTGGAATTATTGCTTCTATTGTTTCAGTAAATTTATCAGACTGCTTTTTGAAGCCTAGTGCTAAAATGGATGTTAAGCCAAGAAGTGGCGCGACTGTTTCACTGAGCCGGGGCACTTGGCCTGCGGGTGTGGCTCGACTTGCGCTCAGCTCAATGAGATGTGATGTGATCATGGCAGGCTTTGCAGACTTGCACACCAGCAAGAGAAGCAGTTCATTTCTTTCCAATGCTTTTGTAACTTCATTAACTCCAATAGCAAGCTGTCTTCTGATACTTATGTCAGTCCACCCTGGTTTTTGTTGATGGCTTTCTGTTTCCTCCTCTTTAGGGAGTTCGTTGGTGCTAGCATCGCACTTTCTTTCCATTTGTTTTTTTGTAAGGGAACGTTTTTTCTTTCTTGGACTCTCAATCTTTTTAAGTCCAACACGTTTAATCCTTTCTTCTAAGGTCTGTAGTATAAAATGCATATCTTTTCCATCTATGGTTTTCCACTGAAAAACAAAGGGGTTATCTAGACATGTTTTTACAGTGATTTTCTTTGCTTTACGAAGTGTTGCCGTCCCTTGCTGAATTACAGACATCCTGAGGTTCTTCTGTGTTTTGTCACCCTAGGGAAGAAAGAAACATTAGTCGAAGTACTGTACTGTTTGCTGGGAACATCACTACCACAAGCCTCTTTTGGGAATGCAGAAAAGAAATGTCAAATATCTTATGTCAAAGTGATATTGGCAACTATCACCTTCTTCACAGTGCTCAGTGCTAATCCTTCACAAAACTTCCGGAAGGCAGATGCTGTGTTGCTTTTTTTTGTTTACAAATAATAAACTAGACTGGACAGCAAGGCAACAGCAGTGATGAAACCCTTCAGAAGCTGAACAAAAGCAGCTGGAGGTATTACAGATGTAAAAAACAAACAAAAAACCACAATCAAACAACCCCACCCCCAGAGTCATGGGTTGAAAGACCACGACATTTTTGCTGTTGCACAGGTGCATTGTCCCCCATGCATGTGAGGAAAAAAAAAAAAAAAGCTGAATCACAACATGACACAAGCTCCAAATCCCTAAATTTATTTAAGATTTTTAGAAATTTGTCTTTTCAGTCTTTACTCCATGCCTTTGTGTTTTTTCTGCATTTGGAAGGCATGATAGAGATCTGCCTCAGGGTCTTATTAATTTATGCTGTGAACCCTATGAAATGCCCTGGGCCACCCCAGCAAAGGCCCATCCAGCCCTGCTGTGTCTCCAGCAGCAGGAACTAGAGAAACTGTTAGGGAAGGATAGGCTGCCATTCTCCTCAGCTCCCAAACACACAGAATGGTTGCATCTGGGATGTAAGAAGATCTGACAGCTTACCCTATTAGTCCTTTATGGAGCCATCATTCATGCAGTTATCTAATCCCTTTTGCTAATCATCATACTGGCAACAACCAAAAAGTGGAAACAACTAAAGAATGGAAACGACCACTAGAAACCTAAAATGCGACCGAGTTAGAAATGGAAGCTTATGACAACTTAAAAAAATTAGCTCTAGGTTATATCTTCTAAAAGCTTTTAATTGGGGATGCTCTGATGACTTTTTACAGAGGATATCAAGCAAAGTTAGCAACAGACTCGTGTAAACAAAGCAAAACATGAGGGATTTCCCAGCTGAAAGATTACAGTTTTCTTTCCAAAATGGGTACTGCTGAGGAAAACAAGCGTGCAGGGATAAGATAAAAACTACAAACACCGGGCTCCTCCTCCTCGCGCCGCTGTCACGACCTCCTCGCTTCCAGCGGAAGGGAGAACAGGAGAAGCGCCGCCCACGTTCACCTCCGCCAGGAACCCCCGCCAGGAACCCCCTCCAGCCCCTTCCGCTCCGCTCCGCGGGCGCCGCCTGCTCCCTACACAGAAGCGCGGGTCAGAGCACGGCCCGGTAGGACGCGCTGCAGGCGGCGGCGAGTCCCTGGGGCGGGGGCTCCCGCCGCTCCCTCGGCCCCGCCGCCGGGACCGAGCACCCGCTCCCCGGGCCGCCGCCCGCCCGCCCGCCGAGCGCCTGCGGGCCGGGCCGGGCCCCGCGCAAACGCTGCGGCCGCGGGAAGGTGTGTCCGCTGCCCGCCCGCGGGGCCCGGCCCGCAGTGCCCCGCGCCCGCCCGCGCGGAGCCCGCCCTACCTCGCTCGGCCGCTCCGCCCGGGCCCGCTCCGCGCACACGCCGCCACCGCCGCAGCTCGGCCCCGCTCCGCCCGTGTCCCCGCCCCCGCGCCGCCTCCTCCCGCCCCGGGGCCTCAGCCGGAGCGAGCTGAGGAGGAGCAGCGCGGCAGCCGCAGAGATGGGGGGGCGCTCGGGCGGCCGAAAAGTGCCCCGCGGGAGGCGGGGGCAGCGCGGAGGCGCCGGGTCCCGGTCCCGGCTGGGGCGGCTGAGCGGGCAGGCGCCGTGGGCGGGCAGCGGAGACCGCAAGATAGAACCGCATCTAACGGTGCCGGTGCCCGGGCTGCGGTCGGTGCCACATGGAGAAACAGCGCCTTGCGTTGGTGGAAGGCAGCACTGAAGCGCTGGTGCCGGGAACCTGCGCCTGGCGGGTCTCACCCCAGGTTTAGCACTGGTGCTCCCGCGTTTTGAACGCTCCCGATAATGGGCGCATAGGCGATAGCAGATTTGCTTTGTCATGTGTGAGCTGGCGGCATCATGGCCAAGTCACCGGGTACTTCAATAGGGACTTCACAGCAACCTCGCTGCAGTGCAATAATGCAACATACTGCGCACGTAGGTTACATTCTGTAACTAAGATGACAGGTAAGGACTGGTTACGTTCAATGTTTCTCAGAGTGTGCCCCCAGCCATTAACAAATCTTGACACACACATTCAGTTTCTACATTCACCTTACTGCACGGTGTGGTTACACGCAGCCTCTGGGCCTGAAAGAGCAGAGCTTCCCCAGCAGGAATAAGGGCTTCGGCGCTTCAGAGTTGTTTTCAAATTTATTTAAAATCTTGTATTTACTGAAACTTACGTGGTTTTTTTTTCTTGTTAAATCCTGTCTTAATTTAACGTGGACTTGCTCTGAGAGAAAACACTCTTTTTCACGGTTTTATGGAAGTTAGTTGGTTAAAAACATGCAGAAACACACAGTATTGTGATCAAACTATGCTCAGGGAATGATGAACATAAATGTAAAGAGGTGTGAATATAAATAATTTATTAATGGATAGGATAAGCAGGGATGGAATTTTTTTTCCTTCAATTTATCAATTAATATTCTTTTTATTCTGTATTTAGTAGAACAAATTAAAACCCAGCGTTCACAAGGTACCTTCTGTGTGTGTGAGGTATCTATCCCCGGGATGACCTGCAGGTTTTCCAGAGTTGCAGCTGGACAATGCGAGGTTCCAGGCCGGGCTGGGCGTGGGCACGGGCAGGGGCTGCACCAGAGGAGTCGAGCAGCAATAACCGGGCTGGCTGCCGTTCAAGTCACCCAAGAAATTTCTTTTTCAAACAGATGGCTTGAGAATCCTGCTGTATCGCTGCTCTCCAAGCCTGGTGACCTAATCCTTAGTGGTATGGAAACGAGCTCAGGCTTTCTGAGGAAACGACTGTGGGCTTAATGCTCACTGCCCCCACCGCCCCTTCCCTGGGGTTCGCAGCCGCTCAGCTGTGCCGGCAGGGCCGGCAGGCGCATTGGGAGCGAGCCCGTGTCGTGCCTCAGCCGGGAGCTGAGGTCACTGGGACCATCCCAGCGCCACCGCGCCCGCGCCGCGGGAGCCCTCAGGCAGAGGCGCCGCGTCCCCGCCGCGGAAGGAACGAGGCCGCTCCCTGGGCATCCATCCTCGCAGCATCATGACTCTCCAGGTAAGCAGTTCTGCATCTGGTGACACAGAGACGCCAGGAGAGGAGAGGCAAGGATGCACTGTCTATCTGTGCAATGCCGTGTTGGAGACTGCGGTATTTCTGCAGCATAAGGATTAGTACTGCAAAATCGAGGTTACCTTGCAGCGAGGGAAATTTGCCTAAACCCTTGGAGGTTAAATAATGCATTACTTTCCTACAAGTGGAGGGTGAGAAACATGCTGGTATTTTGTACAATTCATAGGTCATATAATTTTTAGGAGCCTTACCTGTTTAGAGCATGCGTGAATTATTTTTCTTGGCGTCTGCATTTGAGTTTGCCAGGACTGAGTTAGGCATTGAAAGGCAGGTAAATACTTATGTTTTTAGGATCTAGCTAGTTACTTAGAGCTCTAAAATGAGGAGGGAAACTTATAACACTGAGGGAGTGGTATATGTGCATTTGGGAAGCATGAATAATTTTTAAGTGAGTTATGTGTATTTTTTTAGATTGTGTGCATCTTTGTTACATTTTGATGGGCTTGTGTTGTTGTAGGAAAGCTTCTACTTCCTACCTTCTGGCTAGAGAGAGCTTCCTTCTTCCTTCTCTCTGAGTAGGGCTTTAAATAGTTCTTGGGGAAATTATCTTCATTGCTGGCGTTTAGCCTCCTACATTTTCGAGAAACTATGAATACTTCCCTTGTCTTACCCATGCCGTGATGGATTAGGCTGTTTTTCTTTGTTAGGCTTTCCTATTATCCCTTTCACTTTAAGATTTGCAAGCCCTTTTATCCCGGTCTCATAATAATGTCTCTCTCAGATTGGTTAGTTTGCAAAGAGTGGACAACACAATGCTCTGACCTAGATGCAGGGAGTGCATTGCCAGTAGCTCAGCAATTTTCTTCTGAGCTGCAATTATGTTGAATAGAACAGAGGTTTCATTGTGGTGTGTTACAGCTAAGAAGAAGAAAACTATTTCTTCAGTGGGTCAGAACTGCCAAATCCCAAACATAACATCACCTTTGTTTAATTAACGATCACCAAAATTATATTTGTTTTATTCTGCCTTGAGTTTACTCTACAAAATGAATTTATTATCCTTACGATTAAGCAATGAGCCATAAATCACAGTTAGAAAGAGCTGAGTGCAGTATGATATGCTGTTCCATTGTGGTATGCAGTTACACTTTCACATAAAAATCAGTGGTTGAAATACTGCAATGTCTTTACGTATTCTGTATTAGACATAGAGGTTTTCTATCCACATTGGTTTGGTTGACAGCCAGCATCCATATTGATAAAAATTTATTGAATCAAGCTATATGGGAATGAGGACAACTTAATAATGTTTTCATTAGGGAGGCTTAAAATATTTATAAGTTTTGCAGACTGTTAAAATATTCTGCATGAAGAACGAAGAATGTTTTTTCCTTTGCAAAAAGGGAGTATGTGATAATAGTCTGATAATTTGTGCATTTATCCCTAGTACATATGTGTATGTTTTTCTGTAGATATTTTTACACTTTTAATTTGAGGAGTGAAAGGGAATTTCATTGGCACATGATTAAAAGGAAATTATATTTTTATAGGCTGCTCCTAAGCATGTTGTGTAAGCAGGCAAATTCTAAGCAACAGTCTGTGCACAACGATTGGTTAGAGGGGGATGAAAAAAGAAATGTTTAGTATTTATATTTCATTTCTGCATGTTTCTTGCTCTGCAAGATATGCGTTTGCATATTTTTAAACAGTATCTTGTGATACTTGCCTATTGATGCATATAGAATAAAACTATGTGATGATAAGGTTATTAACTTGATGGGTTCCTTAATTTATTTTTTTTATCTTTTGTCTTGTATAATCTAACAGTGCTTCTGGTTCATTCTTACTCTGAAGTTGTGGTTTAACTCCAGCTAGTAAATAAGGACCATGCAACCACTTGCTACCCTTTCCCCCACCATGGGATGGGGAGGAGAATCAGGGGGAAAAAAAAAGTAGGAACTCGTGGGTTGAGATAAGACTAGTTTAGTAATTAAAGCTAATTTATATATAATATATAAAATTTGTTAATAGTAATAAGAGAGAGAGCATGCACAATAAAACCCAAGAGAAACAAGGGATGCACAACACAATTGCTCACCACCCGCTGATCAGTGCCAAGCCCATCTCTGAGCTGCAGTCAGCCCCTCCTGGCCAATCCCCCCAGTTTATTTACTGGCCATGATGTTCTGTGGTGTGGAATATCCCTTTGGCCACTTTGGGTCAGCTGTCCTGACTCTGCTCCTCCCCAGCTTCTTGTGCCCCTCCTCACTGTCAGAGCATGAGACACTGAAAGTCCTTGGCTCAGTGTAAGCAGTGCCCAGCAACACCCGAAACATCAGTGTGTTATCAGCACTATTCTCGTACCAAATCCAAAACACAGCACTGTACCAGCTACTAGGAAGAAAAATGAACTCTATCCCAGCCAAAGCCAGGATGGAAGTTTGGATCAGAAAACCATTCAAGACATGTGGAAGATTTCCACTGACTTGAATGGTCCTTGTATGTCAATGCTGCCAGAGGCTCCCATGCAGTAGTAACTTATTTAAACTTTGAATAACTTGTGGCAACCCAGTTATGTTTTATTACTGATACCACTTCTTAATCTTACAGTTAAAGACCATGAATGCTGCTTTTGTTTGCATGTGTATGGATAATATTAAGAGATGTCTGCGATGAGGAGTCAGTGATAGGTACAGTCAAGAATGTCACATTACTGGTATTTGGCTTAAGATGAAATATTCATTTTAATAAAATTTTACCAATTAAAAAAATCTGAAGTGTGGTGAGTCATCACATTTATTGTCATACTGTTGTTAGTGCACAGAAGGACATATTTTTCTGTAATTAGACTACAGTCTTGCTACCTGAGTACAGAACTCCTTCATATCCTAACGCTGAATGTCTGAAACACTGTGCAGCAGCGTGGCATGACTGGAGTGACTCAGGGGTAGGCTGGGATGTAAATCCAGAGCATGTGAGTTCCTCTGCAGTATGTGCCTATGTCCTTGCTTCTGCCCTGAGATAAACACAAAGTGGAACAGGCTTATTTCCATGGAGGGATAAGCCACCTGTTTGTCACGGAACATAGTGAAATAAAGAGTCATACGAGCAATCTCACAGGTATGGAGTTCAGACTCCTATTCTGCTTATAGAGATGTCCCATCCCTGCTCCCAGGCTGAAGGCACTCACACTGTGCCTAAGGCACAGGGCAGGGCACTTTTGCCCCAAACCCCAGATTCTCTCCCTGTGTTGTTGTGACTTGCTGGCCTCAAACATGTGGGTTCACATTTCTGATTTTGCTTTTGAAAGGAAGGAAAGTGTAACTTACTTACTTTCTATGGCCCTTGTCAATTTTTGGTGGAAAATTAAAAATGATCTTAACATCTGAGCTTGCTGAAGTATTTCAGGTAGTTGTAGGAATTCCAGGTACAGTTACTCTGCAGAAGGAGGACAAGAGACAATACAGCATAAGATGAAAAATAAAGATTGCAAGGCTTTCATGAAAGCAAATATTAATATTACAAAAAAAAGCGCTGAGAAGCGAATGCTGTAAGGTCATTTCAACATTATTGATTCAGCTTTTATATGTAGTCTAGGGCACACGATTTTTGTTTATCTGAATTATATATAACATATGTACAAAACATATAAACATATCCTGAGCCTTTTGGTATTTGTCTTGCAGTGCTCCCAAATACTCGGTTGGTTAAAAAAAAAAAATCCAGTGTTTACTTCTTAAAAGAAATCAGCCACAAAAAGTTGGACTTAAAGCTTCATGTTTTTCAGTGATTCTGTGGTATAGTTGCATTCTAGTAATATTGAGAATTATTTTTATTAAAACAGGAACAAACTGCATAACTAGTTACATGTTTTCAGTCTACAAAGTTTTAGATTTAAGAATATAATTTGGAAGTAATTTGGTGTAGAATTTATTCCCGAAGCTCTGCCAAATAGTATACTGTATAGAATGACCAAGTTTCAGAGTTTTCAACAGACAAATTGCACTTGGAATCTTGCTAATTCTCAGAAGGATTGTTACATTCAAAATAGAACAGCAGCATTTCTTAAAACAGTCTTTATCAGTTCTAACACACCAGCTGTTCTCTGTATTCCTGCCTCCACTACTGGGCATTTGGTTCTGGGAGGCCTTGGTGGGAATCTCCCAGAAACTCCTGCTTGTCAGTTATGCAAACACTGGTTCTCACTGAGTTGGAAGATTATTTGTTAAAAAGCATCCTCATTGCTGCAGGATTTTTGTCCTTCACCGCATTTTTAAGGGTGCTACAAACTGACAGCTAGAGATATGTATTATCATCATGAACCCTTCCCGTGTAATGTTCTGTGAATTCATAGCTGCAGTTTAAAGAAGATTCAAGATTTATTTTTAATTGCTGTTTTGCAGGGAGCATTCCTTTGCTAGAACACCCTTATAATCATACATCATGATTTTTTAAAAACATCCCTTTTAAATGTACGTCTCTGCCTGCTGCTCCTTGTCATAACTCTGGTGTTACAGATGTACATTCTCCTGAGGCATGCACTTTTATTCTTAGGAGACTTGTGCTTTCCCTTGGTGGGTTTCAAATGGCAGCTGAAAATTTTGCAAAAAAATTAGAAATTCCTCAGAAGTTTGTGTCTGGGGAACCTCACTAGCCAAACTAAATTTCCATACCAAAATTAAAAAAAAAAAAAGTGAATTCCATCTCAGGAGACAGAGGTGACTCATTTAGTAGGAGAGTGGCCAGGTTTCTGTGCAGGAAGCTGCAGTGCACTCAGCTACCTGCCCTTACCCTATTTCACCTGCTACTCCTGCCTTAATGCAGCCACCAGCTGATGTCTCCTTACATCAATGAATACATAGTTTCATGATTCCATGAAGGGGCCTTTCTGTGAAGAAAGATCCATGAGCATCACTCTCTAATTAAATTATTTCCAATTTTTTCTTCTTAGATTTAAAACCAGAAATAGCCTTTCTCTTGTACTTTTTCTCTGTTTAAATAAAGAATGCTATAGTGAGTCCAGCTCTCATTCATACTTGCTTATTTCTATCACCTGATCCACCCAGCACAGTCGGTTGCCAAGGAGAAAGGCATCAGTTAAGGAGACAAACGTGCATTAGGTTTTCTTATTAAAAAAAAAAAAAAAAGTCTTTCCTATAACTAAGGGAAAAGGTGGTCTAAAGAAGCACAGTACAGACTTCTGAGGTAATACTAGGATCTCAATGATTTAAACAGAGCCACAGCATACACGCTGAAACCAATGTTGAATATGTTGCTGATTTTAAGACCCAAGTTTTAAGATTTTTTTTTTACATTTTATATGTATATGTGTGCGTGTGTGTGTGCCATAGCACATCTTGCAGGATATAGTGTGCTTCTGCAAATGCAGATCCAACTTAAAAGCTAAACTAATTATTGAAACCAGCATATAGCATATGAAAGTACCTATACCTTTTTGTACTGGAGTAATGCAGTGACCTGATGGGTCAGTGGTCACTGTATGAAATCTATCTCTCTGAAATGTCCTGAGCATGAGACAGAATGCCAAAGTCTAGCCCAAGACTTACTACATGGCCTCAAGTTGATGTGAATGTGTGATGCATGATGATGAAAGGAGTACATTTACAGTGCACTCTTGTGCTCCACTGTGTTTGAGAGCTGGGTGTGGAAGGTGGTCCTGGCAGTAGCACTGCTCATCCCCGTGAGGTGTCTCTGTGCCAGCTGTTGATCACCTACTCTGCTGTCAGCAGAGCTGTGGAAATGAAGGGTGAAGTGGGCAGTGCCCCTCAGAGGGTTTTCAAGCTCCACCACTCGAATCAACACTATGGAAGCAGAGATTACTGCTGGGGTGTAAAGTTCAATGAACACCTTCATACCCACAGTGTGACTGTGAAAGACACGCACTACATAAACTGTGGAGGCTGCCTGCATGAATATATCTGTAGCTATTCTGACACTAGACAGTCTGTAATGGTTCCAAGTGTTTAGATGTAAAACTATTTATCTTAGAAGTACAGACCCTATCAGCTATGTAATCCTAGTTCCTCTTCTAACGACGTACAGTTTCATTAAGCTTCTTTCATGGATAAACACCTCAACTTACCACTAAACCCAAGCGAGTGATTGAGAATATGTAATGATACTACTGTGTGCCCTGTGCCCCATGTTTTAAGCACGCCCCTTGAGAGGAAAACCAACACTTTCTGTTCTTTCATCAGGCTGACTTTGATGGTGCTGCAGAAGATGTAAAAAAATTAAAAACAAGACCAACTGATGAAGAACTGAAGGAACTATATGGATTCTACAAACAGGCTACCGTTGGAGATATTAATATTGGTATTTTTACATATGCTTCACATTTACTCCCATACCTTGATGAACTCTAGCTGATGTTATGTAAATCGGCATGATAATCAAACGTATGCATTTATTTTGGCAGAATGTCCAGGAATGCTAGATTTGAAAGGCAAAGCCAAATGGGAGGCATGGAACCTGAAAAAAGGTGTTTAACCAATTCAATTTACATCATGTAGTCATGTTTAGAGGACAAATGAGGAAAGATAATGATTCCTACTTTCCTTTACAGGTTTATCAAAGGAGGATGCCATGAATGCCTATATCTCTAAAGCAAAAGCAATGGTAGAAAAATATGGGATCTAGAATATTCAAAGTAATTCCCACTAATAATTAATTCTTCAGTAGCTAATGAACTAACTCTGTTGAGAACACTGCAATACTAACTCCTTACTGTGTAGTCTGACTAATATCTTTTAAGCATAAGCTGACTGTAAAGGGTATTTATATACATAATCTATTTTTAGATTGTATCTTATTCTAAATAAATTTGAACCTAATAAATTAAGCTTTCTGTAAGAATTGTGGATTTTTGTGGGTATTAAATTATATTTAGCATTTTTACAGAAGCAGGCAAACAGAAGCTCTAGAAGTAAAATAACATAGCTGTCATTTTTTTCAAATGAGGTTATGGAATGAAGTGAAGAGTTTGTGCACATGCAAGATGAGAAGAGGGAAAAGATGAAACCTGTTTTTTTAAGACAAAGCCAATGTTTATTTTCAGAAAAACCCAGGAAACTCCCCCTTTTAAAGGATTACAGAGGACAAACAGAACAATTCAGGCATAACTGCATGCAGAAATAATGACTTATGAAGTGCTGTGGACTAATATTACACCTTCTGCTATTAAAATTATGGGAAATAGTCATAGACCGGCATTTTCTATGCATCTTGTTATGTGTTTTGTCAAGAAAATTTCATTAGAGGGTTCTAGCAGATAAAAGTGACCTCCAGGAAGCTCATAAAAGGATGTATCTCCACTTGTTAGTTCTTGCCAACCTGAAAAAGATATGTCAGAAAAATGTCAACGATTGTGACCATTTTACATAACTATTTCAAAATTATTATTTAACAATTATTTTAAATCTTATATCAACATTGAGACTGCTCTGTTGGTTTGTTTCATTTAAGAAGGAGATAAAAGACTCTAGAAGATGCAATTCAACAGGAAAATGTGTAAGTATAAGAGGAAAACCATTTAAGAAAAGTACCTTGTAAATCATATGGTTTATCATCACCCCCATTAAAGCAGGTAATATCACAAGAGAAGGGGATATCCATTTCTGCCTTCTCAAAACTGTGAACATAAAAAGTAGTCCTAAAACATTCAATAAGATACCCATATTTGGAATTTGCTTCCACATACAAAATAACTTTTTCATTCTCATCCAAAATCTAACAAACTTCAGGAATTAGATTATGCAGAACATCAGAAGAAATTACCACATCTGGAAGGTTCTTAGCTCCTTGCCCTACTGCAATTAGGTCTAAAATTGTAAAGAAAGAATGACCTGATAGTTAGGGGAGAAAAAGAGCTTCAGCCTGCAATAAAAATTCTCACCTACCATAAACAGTCATGTTACCTGCTTATATTCAAGTTCTAATGTTTCAGGGCCTTTCAGTGTCAGGTTCCTAAGACCAAAATGGGTCCCACATCCAAGAGTATCGTTGTCTTTGCCAAGGTGAGAAACCTTAACAACTCAGCCACGTTGGCTGTCGTGTAACATCCAGTGGGGACAGCAGTTAGGACAGAAGAAGCTGGTTGCTCTCAAGGTGCCAAGAACAGAGGGACTCTTTGCTTCTGGTTAGATTAGGGGATCTTGGATCAGCAGGCTGAATGCAGTGATCCTGAAGCATGATCAGCTGAGATTAGTAGCCTCAGAAAACAATAAAAGATGAGAGAATATTCCCTTTTAGTGGCTGTTAACTGTGGATCCTCAGTATAACTGTAATTCTACCATGACACGTTCACTACTGCAGTAACAGTTTGCTGCTGCAGTGATTGATACAGTAAGCAGTGTTTTCATCTAGGGCTTAAATACTAGAAAACAAATAGAAAAACACACAAAGGAGAGAACTGTTTACTGTTTCATAATCTTTTTATAACAGAAATGAGAACAAAATATGAAGAAAGAAAAAACCTGACATGATCAGACAGAAGTAAAAATGTAAAATACAAATGTAATACAAAATTGTAAAACTTACGAAAATGTCTGTAACACTCTAAAGTCTTCTTTAAAAGTAAGCAGCAAATTTTTCCTAACGTCTTCGTTATGCAGAAGCACAGAAGGAGTTCCTCCTACAGTTTGTAGATATTCAATAACTTCTTCATCTTTTGCATCAGATACAGAAATGCTTTTGAATGGAAGAATTGCTTCAGACTGTCAGTACCAGATAAAACAAATGAGGTGTTGTATATAATATACTTTAAATTATCTTTTCATTAAAAATCATTTTAGTAAAAAGTACAATAATTCTTCATCTCCAAAATACAATGGCTGATTAATTTAACATCCAAAGGGAACACTTCTTGAAAAGGGTTAGTAAATTATGACTGAGCCAAGTATCTTCAGGTCTGAAACTTCCACAGACAAATAACCATTAATTCAATTTTGTTCAAGTTTGACTCTTACTATTGAAATGCACCTAATAAAATAATCTGTTTAAGAGAAAGAAAAGCCTAGCAGTGGACATAAACCTGACTAATGTAGGACTGAAGAGACCAACTGACTATGGAAATTTGCAGCAATAACAATTGCTTCCATGAATCACTAGCTCATACTAAGGATTGCTAAGAAGCCCCAGAAAGAGAAGAACGGAAATAGCAAATGCTGACTGAGGACAGGAGGACTGGGAAAAAGCCACTTCACTGCTGTTTTCCTGAGAAAGACTAGCAGAACCAGCAGAACCTGAGAAGAAACTGATTAAAAATCCAACAAAGAATGAGGGAAAGAAATAAATGGACAAATGTACTGAAGGCTGATGCAGGCGGTTTATGAAAGACTAGGTTAAGATAGTTATTTCACATGTTACAGAGAAGAGAGAGCCACTTAGTATTTTGGTTTGATTACTTTTTTAATTTTAAGCCAAAGGCCATAGTAAATAACACAGTATTCAAAAAAGGTAGCATTAGCTCAAGGAGATTGTTCTCCTGAGGCTAAGGTCAGCTAGCAGCAGTGAATATCGTGTAGTGCAAAGTTCTGCATCCACCTCATATTTAATTTCCTCTAAGAAAAAACTTTTCTCCATAGATTCTGAAGCAATGCTCATTTTGTATTAAAAGTAATTCTCATGCCATACTGTCAAAAGTTATTTTTACTCTTGATAGCTAATGTACTGTTTTGTTTCATATTGTTAATGATTCTGCAACTTACATTTGGGGCATGTGCCCCTGACACGAAAAGATGGACAGGCTCTAGTCCATACTTTTCTTTCAAATGTAGTGCCACTGCAAAACTCAGGTAAGCTCCAAAACTGTAGTGAAAAGAGAAATTAAAGCAAAGTAAGCAAAAACATACATAAAACCTGGAAAATTTAAACATAGTTCGAATTTCAGTGCTAACTGAATATCTTGAACAGTTACTGAAGCCATATATGACATATAAATTATAATGATATTCATTAATTGACATGAAGTGTATTCCTACACAGTCTAGTTTTACAAATCAAACCTTTTCTTAATCTTTCTTTTAGTAGTCTCCTTAATTTGCAATAAGAACAGTTATTTTGAATACTTTGGACTAAGCAATCTTCAAAATCTGTGTTTCACGAATGGTTCACCCCCTGCATTCATATAGATCAAGAACTGACACAAATATTAAAAATAAATGCCATAATAAATTATAATTTATCAGAAACACAGTATATTCAGATGTTGTGCCTGAAGCAATAAATAAATAACCAGTCTTTTAGAGCAACAGCATGTTTTAGGATGACTTGACAAAAGATCTTTGCACAAGCGTATTTTCCTAAAATTTTTGCATATAAAAACAAGTAACTGTCTACTCAATGAGTTCAGAGATAGAAGCTCCTTCACCGAGGTATCTAAAAATGTATATATTTTTACCTGTGACCAAAAAATGCAAATGGTTTTTCTTGAAGGTCTTTTAACAAAACACTTGTAACTTCATTAACCATGCTTGTCATGTCTTTTGCAAAAGGCTCATTAAGACGAGTTTCTCTTCCAGGATACCTTACACAGAACACTGCAGAAGAGGTGGAGGAAGTGAGAGAAAAGGATTATAGTTATTTCAAATAGATAGAGTAAAAATAATTTTAATTCAGTTTTTTAATTATTATGCAGAATATACAGATTATTTAAATTAATCCTTCTTACAGTTGAAACCATGTATTTGTTATTGCTACTACTCTGTTTTAATCATATGAGAGATCAGGTTTCCATTCCTTCCTTTACTCACAAATTGATCTGATTTATTCTCCAGTTGATCTGATTGTTAAGTGCCTTGGCTCAGAATCCACAAGGTCTTGATTACAGCTGAGGTTTGAAAGCAACTTTATTACTATTAGGTTAATAACAACCACAAATTCACTCATTTCAATAATAGTAAGTTAAGGGGTGTGTGAAATACATCCTTCCAAGGGCAGCATTATAAAGTTTAACTATATTAGCATTGCACAATCCCTGTTTTCTTCTTTGTTGGCTCTTGAGCATTACACATAGTAAAATGTGTAATCATAGTACAAATTGATTGACATTTATATTTACTTATATTTATCTGGAAGGACATTTTACATACTTTTATTATATTCCTTTCAAAATTGGGGATTTTCCTCTCGCTGTTTAGTGAAAGTAAGGAATCAATAGATCAGAAAAAAATGTCAATTTTCTGAACTCTCCTTGATATAATGCATACTGCTGAACTCATGTGGAAGTAATGGGTCAGACACAAAGTATTTTAGAATAGACAGAATAAACCACTACCTAATATGATACTAGCAGTACAGAAATGTCTGCATCTTCTGTACTTTCTTTCTGCAGAAACCATCTCTGAGAAACCATGCTACACCCTGATTTTATTAATCTGTGTCTGCAGTTGCTCCTAGGCTATTTTCTTAGTAACTTTGTTGGAAGTAGTTCCAGCAGAAAAAACCTCTTTTATTTCTTTCTTTTTTTTTTTTTTTTCCATTTCAAGGAAAATTTAAAAATTTAATGTGACTTGTGCAACTGCTTACCAGAAAGCATATGAGCATTTGGAGGACTGGTACAACTGCAGTGGCAATGCTCGTAAATATAAAATTATTTTTTCTTTGTGGAAGGTCTGTAAAATGGCCTTGGTTCCTCTTCAAATAGTTCAAGCAATGGATCTTTTTTAGCGCTGATACAGCTTGAGAGCAATGAGAAATACTTTGTAGTTTAACTTAATGTCATTTCACTGTTATAAATTCATAGTTTGAACTTCAGTTTTGAAACAAGAAGTGCAAACAATGGATAACAGATTCTCCGTGCAGCCTCTCAACATTAAAAATGGTTCTCGTATCTTCACCGTTACCCTGGCATATTAGCAATATGCAGTGTATTGTGTTTGTGAATCATACCAATAGTTTCTGAAGCAGTCAACCATACTATAGTCTTGTGGAACTTAGCTCTGAGGATATATAACCTTTAAACCCAGTCAAATATAATTTGATGCAAGGTGGTACAGAAAATGCACCTTGATGGAAATGCTAGTTCCTAATGAATGCTAGTTCCATCCTTTCCAGGGAAGACCCATTGGATAAAGATTCCAGTTATCTCAAGAATATTATATTCCATTCAGAAAATTGGGTTACTGTGTATTTCAGACTTGTGCTTTAACTACAAAAATGACAAACCTTCAATTGAGTTGCTTAACCGTTTGCCCCACTGAGCAAGAAGAGAAGTTCCACCTCCAGCCCACGGAAAGCAAATCAGCCTACAGAGAGCATTTTGCCTTTTGTGCACACAAACCATCAGCTTCTCCATTCCTAAAAACTAAAACAAACAAGGAAATAACATTTCATTCTAGAACAAGACTCTGCAGGTATAGGAAAATTAGATTGATTTAAATCTAAATTGAAACAACGGCCTGCAATATTTTCTGTCATCAGAACTGCTTGTGTTACAACAATTTGTTAGATATGAGGTAATCTTCCTGCAACAGTGTAAACCAGTTCTGCTTTTACAAACAATGGTGGAATAGTATTGAGCAATACCCTTGGTTAATTTTTTCTCAGTCACTAACCACAACAAACATTACAAGCAGCAAAATAGATTGATACGATATTTCAGGATGACCATTTAAAAAAATAGGCTTTTAGAATATACACAAAAATATAAGGTCTATATAAAGACCTATAAAATATAAGGACCACCTAGTTCAATATTCTCTCTACCACAGTGGTAAAATAGATGTCTAGGGAACAGCAGGATGTAGTTTCTTTATATACAGGAAACATCTATGAATGTTTCCTGTGTTCTGGTGTTGGATCAAGGGTTGGACTTGATGATCTCAGAGGTCTTTTCCAACCCGATTGATTCTATGATTCTATAAATACTCTTTCATGTATTTTTCCAGTTTCCCCTTAAATTCCTGTGAACAGGTGGCATCTACAACATCCTCTTGCAATGAGTTGCACAACTCTACTATCTGATGCATAAAGATTGATGTCCTTTTTTGTTTTTAATCTGACTTCTACAAATTCATTTGATGGACACAGGGTAGAATAGTAAAGAGAGTGAACAGTGCATCCCTCAGGGTTTGCCACTGAGCAGTTTTAAGGTTTTCTGTCATACCATCTCTGCCCTCCCTCAGCTCTTCTTCCTGAATGAAAAGACCTGGCTTGCTTAGGTATTCCTCATATGGCACTAATGACCATCATGACTGCCCATCTCTGGACTACTAGTTTTGTTATTTTCTTTTAAGATGGTGGAGTGACCAGAGCCACATTCAGCTTTATCACAGCAGCTTTAGTATTTTCATTTAGTGACTCATAAAAGTAAAAGGTGAAGCAAGATTTATAAGTACTCCTTCCTTCTTCCCGAGAAGGAAGAATAGCATTGAAGATGCCAAGTTCATTGTCTCTAACATCAGATACTGTCTTTACTGTCTGAAGAAAAAAGCAATTCTCAACCATTTCTATACTTCTTTCCCAATTTTCATGTTCTGTTGAAAGAACCTGGGAACAGCATGTGCGACAGAAATACCTCGTGGAGATAAATTCATTAGAAATATAGTGATAAATAATTTCTATAAAATGCAACCATTAGGATAAACTCCCATGTTCTTGTTAAAAAGATTGAAAAAAACAGTAATTAGGGGATAACAAGTAGCAAAATTCCATTTCTGAAATGCTGCAAATCATTAAGGGTGTTATCTCTTGCCTTGAAGGCAGCTTAGTATGTGCAAAGGCTGATTCACCATAAAATACACATGTGCCTACACGGTCTTTTTTCTCTCTACAGAAAGTTTCAGAAATGCAACCAGATCAGAATAAACAGCAATTCAGACCTTAAAACTACATAACATAAGCAAGGCAGAAGAAAACTGATGCAAATGTTGCTGTGGCAGTTGCTTGATTTCCACGTGTTTAAACTGAAAAGTTTGTCAACATTTGTTAAGAATCACTTCAAAGAAACAATAAGAGGAGCAAGCAAAAGAAAAAAAAGTGTATCAAAAATCACGGGACAGACAATGTGACCTTAAAAGTAGCTGAAGGATAGTGGAACCAGTGCTGCAGAAGACATAATTCCTCTGAAGGATTCATTGAGCTTCAGTACCATTAGTTCCATTTACACAGTCACTTCTTCCACAAAAAGGCACAAAACCTCAAACATTTCTGAAGCCATTGTTTTAACTTGACAGTCAAATAGCAAAAGAAGAATCTCTTCTCAACCTATTCCAAAGGCAATATAAAAATGTCAAGCATGATAAAGAAGCACAGTTAGTCAAAGTCCTTAGATTATTAAAAGATACATCCCCAGTCACTGAGAAACTTTCCCACTTTATACTCATACAGATTTACCCCATCACCATCCAGCTTATTTTAGATACAAATACCTGAACAGTTGGGAAGACCACCAGTGCCAGGAAATGACAGCCCGAGGGTGGATCCCCTTCTCTGCCGTGCAGCAAGAAGCTGCACAACCATCTGCTTTTAAGTCTTTTCTAGACTCCAGGGGAGGAGCTTGCACCCAAAAAAGGGCAGGACCGAGGCACACAGCATGCCCGAAGGCAGATAGAAACATCATGTGTTAGATGTGACGCATGGAATTTGGCAGAAAAATAAGGAAGGCACACCTCATTAATCCCAGTGATTTAAAACACACAGGTTGGCATGCCCATGACAGAAGTTGTAGCACTTTCAATACATGGAGGCCCACAACCTCGCTGACAGAAAAGCCTGCCTTTTTTAAGAACTGTATCCAGAAGTACAGCACTCACACCTCGGCTGCAGAGTTTTATACAGTTCTGAAAATGCTCATGTAGGAGACCATCACCTGATTTGATTAAAACATTGCATTTGGTTATTAGGCCAGTTGCAATTTCTGCAAGCTGAAAGACATAGCATTTCATGAACTACACACTGTGGTTACGTATCCTGATTTCATGTGAGCTACCACGTTATGCTCCTGGTGACCAGATGCTATCAGTAACCTAAAAACATCAGTGTATTTTGTAACTGCATTTGTAATACTAAGAAGATTGGTTTCCTCCCCACCTTTTTCTTTTTAATGTTACTCTACCAAGAGTATCAGTGACAATAATAATAAAATAAAAATATTCACAAACAGTGATAAAAACTAAGGAACCTGAGTGCCAAAATGGGTTCTGATGCTTAACTTGGACATGTAGGCTGGACTGCTTTGTGGTTTTCACACTATTCTTAATTCTTATACATTTCTCTTCATCATATCTAGGAAACTGAAAAATCTACGGTGTTAAGAGAAAAGCCTACCTTTTGACCAGCCAGTCATTAAGCACTGCTCCTTTCCCAAACAAGGGCTGCAGTCTTCTACTTATTTCTGATTTCTGCTTTCCTGGAGAACCTTAAATCAACCCTTGTGGCTGCAGGCTCTGCAGTGAGGTCTGGTCCCATGCTCTGCAGCTGCCACTTCTAAAAGGCAAAAGTACAAACTCACAGTACTTTTACGTTGTAACTCACAGGTTTTATAGTCTATTCTGCGTTGCAAGGGACCCACATGGATCAAGTCCAACTCTTTAAGTGAATGGCCCATATGGGGATCAAACCCACAACCTTGGTGTTATTAGCACCGTGCTCTAACCAACTGAGCTATGGAGTACAATGAGGGACACTTATGCTTTGAAGGTGCACGATTTAAAGCATCTTATATTGGCTAGTCCTGACCTGTGCTGCTGTGCTCAATACTGCTTCTCCATATGATATATCTAGTAGCAGAGGTATTTGATTATAAGTTACAATTTGTAATAAAGCACATAATACGCTTTATTTACTCCTACCTCAAATTGTGCCAACAAAATAATCTGACACCCGATGTTAATGTTACAAAAGCCAGCTGTTATAAACATCAGGTTCACTAATAATATTCCTAAAAGTAATAAAATACTACTGGAAACAATTATTTCCTAACTAAGGCTGAAAATAAAAAAAGGTTAAGAATAAGATTTTGAAAGTATAGCATTAATCAAATAGCAGGCTATTTCCTTAAAAATAATGAAATTAAGAATTGTATGTGTTACTTGGTTTTGTTTGCCTTCTAATTCTTTGTGTCAAAGGACTAGAAAATTTATTGGGTTTCATATAAAAAATGAAAATTTTTACAAATTAAGTAGTTCCAGGAGATGCCACTTTTATCCAAAATTATGCTTGGCCTTTCCAAGGCTGAAGGTAAAAAAGGGCTTCACAGAACTGATCTGTCAAATCAGCACTAGTATACAGAGTAGAGTAGACTAGACTGTTTCAGTTGGAAGGGACTTAAAATGGTCACCTCATCCAACTGCCTGACCAATTCAGGGCTGACCAAGTTAAAGCACGTTATTAGGGATTGTCCCAAACCCTGTTAAACACTGACAGTCTGGGGGCATCAACCATCCTTCTAGGAAGCCTGTACAATCTAAACCTCCCCTGGCACAGCTTTGAACCATTCCCAAACGTCCTGTCACTGGATACCAGAGACCAGAGCTCAGCACCTCCCTCTCTACTTCCCCTCCTCAGGAAGCTGTAGAAAGCAATGAGGCCTCTTAGCCTCCTTTTCTCCAAAGCAGACAAGCCCAAAGTCCTTTTTATGGAAATAACATCAGCTGGGTTCCAGTCAAACTCTCCAGACTCTCAAGACTTTTGGCAGACCAAGAGGGGTCTTGCTATAACATCCATTAGCTCCTTCAGTACTCCAGGATGAATCTTTTCAGACTCTATGGAATTCATGGTTAGAAGGCCATGGTTAGTAAGCTGATACATCTGGTCCCCTACAATTTCAGTGTCCACAAATGGAAAGTCACTGATTCCACACTCACGGAACTCATGCTCCTCTAACTCAGGCAGCCCAAGGTCTATCAGTATTCTTAAATACCAAGGAAAAAAGGCATTGAATGCCTCTGCTTTTTCTTCATCCCTGTTAATCAGATGACAATCTTCAACAAGCATTGGTCCAACGTTTTCTTTAGACCTCCTCTTGTAATCAATGTACTTGAAAAAGCTTTTCTGGTTATCTGAACTGGCCATTTTCAACTCTAAGTGAGCTTTGGCCTTTTGTGTCTTCTCCCTGCTTACACAGATCACAGTCCTATACTGCTCCTGCAAAGCCTGACCCCACTTCCAGGATCACACAATTTCTTTTTCCTTTTTTCTTTTTCTTTTTCCTGTGTTTCCAAAATGTGGTTCTTAAAGACTGACCATTACTTGTGGGCTCCTAAGCCCTAAAAACAAGATTTCCAGGGTATTCCCATTGACTGTTTCCACTAGCATTACCATCCTCAGATGATGCCATGCCAACCTTCACCTTCCCTGCTGTAATCCCGTTGTTATTTCCTTCCCCCCATCAATTCTACTTTAAAGCTCTCTTGATCCATCCCCCCAGCTTATGCCCAAAGACACATCTCCCCATCAGGACAGGTGGATCCCACCAGGCCCCAGCATACCTTGCCTCTTGAATGTTCTTCCCTGGTTTAAAACCCAAAGTTATGGTGAAGGCCGTAGTCCTGGAGTCAGGTATTGATATTCTGGGCTCACCTGTTTCTTCCAAAGTCTCCTTCCATTACTGGGAGGACTGAGGAAAACATTACCTGTGCTCTGGAATTTTTTAGCATTCTTTCCAGGGCTCTTTTTATCGTGACACCATTTGTATGCATGTGAAAGAGCAGGAATAAATAATAGTATGAAGGTTGTATTAGGCTGTTCAGTTTTGTGGTGACATCCCCAATTTGGGTCCCAGGGAAGCAGCAAACTTCTCTGAAAAGAGGGTCTGGTCTGCAAATGAGTGCTTCCATTCCATACAGAGGGAGTCACCAGTGCCCATAACTCACCATTGTTTCTTCCTGACGCACGTCTTAATGCAAGTTTTGTTGCAAGAGGTTGATCTCTCTGACCTTGGCAAGACTTTGTACAAGGGCCTTGTACCTGTTCTGTCAGGGTATCTTAGAGGGCAACTTGAAGGGTAAGGAGGGGTTTCTTTTACCACTCTGTCCTGTAACATTGTTCCAGCCCTCCTTCCTTCTGGTACAAAGCAGATCCAGAACCTACCTCCGTAGTGGCCATGCCAACTTGGCTTCCATGTGTCACAGATGGCAGACTATGGCTCCACTGATTAATCTCCCTCTCAGACTCTTGAATGCTCCTCAGAAGTTCCTCATTTAAAGCTTTCTTAGCTGTTGTTTTATGGCAATTTTCAGTCTCTTTTGGACTACAATAGAAATACAAATGGATGTAATAGTAAGTCAGAAAAGTATAACTCTTTCAGAAATCATAAAGAAAAGTGCAAGAGTAGATTTTTATCCAGTAGGTATTAATGCCGAAAACTCACCAAGGTAATTTTTGTTTAAGAACAGAAACATTGCTTGGGGAGTTGCAATTCACCAATAGTGATTTAATGAGACTCATTTTGAGCACATAACAAAGAAGCATGTGTTTCTCAGTTGCACACCTAGGATTTAAAGAACCATGTTGTGTATGTTGCTTAATAAAAGTTGACATCTATTACTGACAGTTGTGAAACACATTGGATTATATGTACTGTGAGAAATGTAATTTGTTTTCTCCTCAGTGATTATTTATTGTCTTTCATTATTTATTATTATTTTAACAAATCTGCACAGCTTTAGCACCTTTACTGCAACTATACTTCATTTTCTAGTCAATCAACTTCAAAGGATAAAAGGATGCACTTAGATCTTTCTCTTAAAAATTACCATTAGCTGCTTATATGAAGAGACATGAAATTAAGCAGATCTCATGCCATCCAAAGGAAAGCAGGAGTAACCGTCATCTCTATGAAAGTCTTGAGACGGAGACAGTCAAATGAATCCCAACTTATTACTCTTCAGTATGACCTCAGAGGATTATACACAAGCAATAGAAGCCATGCAGATGAAATATGGAGGGAACAGTGGATTTTGCAGAAGAGAAGACTCAATTTAGAGATGCATTAATAGGATCTCCTGGAGATATTTGGAAACATGAGTGACACTAGAGTATTGAAGAGATCTCACTTGGAATTCTGCCTATAGTGTTGTTAAGTTTCTTCAAGAAAGGTGAGTTCAAACCAGATCTGATGCAAGGTGTGGCTAGAAAAGAGAACTTATGAAAGAGAATACATTACCTTTTACAAATACACTGGAAGATGAGGCTGAGGGAAGCGAGGACATTCCAAAAAATGGTTATTGTTCATGTTCTAGCCATGGCTAGAAATAAAATTTTTAACCATTGTACCCATCAGACTCTGGAACAGCTCCAGAAAAGCTGCCTGCTTTAAGGTGGACATTCAGGTTATACAGTGGTTCTAGAACATGTATATGTCATGGCTTGGTGAATACTTCCAGCGCCATGCACCTATTAGTTTAATGCAGGACTGAGTCTGTATGTGTGTGAAGAAAGCCAGCTAGTTGCAATGCTGCAAAATAGTCTTGCTAATAGAGAACTCATTTAATTTAACAAATACAGAGGCCTTTGTATTATTGTATGCAATACACAGAACATGCACTGAGGTCAGTCTGCTAAGGTCTGCTGACCAAGAAAGAAAATAAAATTCAAAGGTAGTCAGAGAAAACAGGAAGCCTGGAGGGACTAGAATACAGTAGAAAATCTGACTTTCAGTCTTCCAAAGAGAAATAAAGTGTGAAAGTTACATAAAAATAGTCAGTTTATATACAGGCCTGGCCATAGGAAATAACAGAAAACAGAGTGGAAATCTCTGCTGCTGTCTCAGTAGAAGAGAAACATGTGCTGACCTACTATGTGCATCATAGTAACTGACAACTGCTTCAATGGTACAACCAAAAAAATTGCTTCTTAGAAAGAACAAAACTCTACCAAGACCAATTTGCCCCTGTTTCTGCCATGTGGTCAGTTGCAGACACAGAAATGCACCATGGCAGGATCCCAGTTTCCTAGAGGAGAACTGCCTAGTCTTTCTCCTTGCAGCAAACTCTATAACCAGGGGAATAGTGTCTGAGTTCAAAAAGTCAGATTTTATAAGAATCAAAATGCAAACAATGAACCTTCAAATAAATTTGGGCAGGAAACAGACTCTCTCATACTCTTAGTTGCTCAGCCCACATTGCAGTCTTTAAACTTCAACCTAAGGGGGCTCAGATGCTCCCTGTCTAGGCACTCTGCAGAAGTCACAATTAATGTAGAGTGCGACAGTGTTAGCAATGCAAACTGCTGGTCAATCACAACTTCCCGTAGGAACAGGGTCAGGCATATAAAATGATAAAAAACAAAAAACTCCATATACTATTGGCTCAGATACATCACACAGCTTAGAACCCAAATTTTAGTCTCTAATTTTGGAGACTCATTTACAGCTTTAGGACAAAGCTCACTCTACAGAGATTCTTTCAATCAGAAAAGACACCTAAAACACTCAAGGCAGGGATGCAAATTTCAGTACCTAGAACAAGAGCATGTGACATGGTCAGTTGTACAAACACTGCCTCCTTCTCTCTCTGTCTGTCTGTAAAACAGAGTCACATAAGCTGTCAACATTCAGTTAGCCACTGAAAGTGAATAGCAGTGCTAATTTGATGAGAACGTGTGTGTCATTCAGAGTTTGACCCACTCTATCTGCCACATAAATTAGGGCAAAAAATGGGTTTATCCCATTTACTTCCACCACCATGCACAAAAGTATGTCCTGGAAAAAAGGGGGAGGATGACCATAAGCAACTGAACAGTGCATTGTATCTTCGCATGCTCTAAACCAGACAAGGCTTGTTTTCCTTTCCTTCACAGGTGCAGATGTTGTCCCTGTCAGCAACTCTTGATGCCAAACTGACAAGAATCTGGAGAACTTGCAGAACTGCTACTCTGGAGAAACAGCAGCTTCAGCAGGAAATCCCTCCATCTCCCACCAGTGCTGCTCTTGGCTCCTGGACTGCAAATGGTGGGTGACCAGTCAAAAGAGCGGGAGGGAAAGTGAAAGGACATAGCAGGTTACAAAAGAGAGAGTTTTGCTTTCCTAAAAGTAATGTAATGATAAGTGAGGTAGTATCGGACTTACAAGAATAAAATACGCAAACATTAGGAAACCTAGTAGGGTACAGAGAGAACCTGCTTAGATAGAAAGGTATAAAGGCCACAGATAACAGGAATCTGCTCCTTTCATATCCTGTGCATAGAAGGTACATGTAGCACAGAGAACGCTGGCACTACACTTTTACCACAGCAATCCAGATCTTGCAGTGGGATGATAACATGCACACTCCACTTCCACTCTACAAGAAATAAGGACATGACTAAAATAGGCATGAGGTTTATAGATATCAAGGTTTAGCCTCATAATGCAGTGGTACAGAAAGTATTCAGTGGACTTGGCCATTTCAAGTTGATTACCCACTGACAAGCAGTAGCTGCAAGGCTTTACAGGGCCACGCCCACTCTTTTAAACACAAATATTTTTGTGAGATGATAGTGCAATCCTCATGCCTTCTCACAACTAACTCTATCGCTTTCAATCTGAAAGTTCTGCATTCATTACTGGCTATCCAGCATCCTATGGGTGATATTGCCCCATCAGCTGGAACTCAATTCCTGTGTCCACACCTATTGGCTCCCCACAGAAGAGGAAATTCAGCAGCAAGGACTCCAGGAAAACCATTCCAAGTGTTTTTTTTATCTCACACAAGCAGAAATATGCTAATAAGGAATGGAAACAAATAAAAGAATCCTGTCAAAAATCAGTAACGGGGCCAGATTTCTTAGTCATAGCATGACCTACAGGAGTATTTGATGACAACAGGAGTAAAACCATATTCCAAATCGATTATGGCCTTTGCTGCAAAGAAAGCTGTTGTGGGGAAGGCAAGTATGGGGTGCGGAGAAATTCTGCAGTTCAGAAAGAACGTAACTTAGACAAAAACGTAATTTAGATGCAGATTTGTTATCAGCTTTGTCTAATCTTGCTGATAATGAAGGAAATAATCTCTCCCTTCCCAGCTTCTCAGAGCATAGCATTCTTACCCCCATGTTTTTATTAGCACTAGCAACTACATATCTCTGTAGTAAGAGCACATTGTTTATCAAGCTGAAAACTAATACTTATCCTGTAGTTTGGTTTTCACCAACATCAGTCAGCTGACCCTATAGAGTCTCACCATCTTCCTACTAAAAAGGAAAGGAGCCTTTTAAGACCTTTTTGCAAGCTTTGACCCGCTTAATCCAGATGGACAGGTGCATGCTGATATTACATATACAGCCCCAAGGTTTGGATGTAAAAGACACTACTGTGCCAACCTAATGGAGTAATTTGCCCTTAAGAATTATTTTACAACTCCTCCTGAAACAAAGAACCTGTCTTACTGGCTTAAAGATACATTCATCGGATCTAATCTTCATTCAGGAAAAAAAAAAAGGCTGTACAGAAGAAAGAATTACTACATGAATAAATAATCTTCTTGGGAACTAGGTGAACTACCATCAGACCTTCGTGATGCAATCATCATCACCTTGTATAAGAAGAAAGGAGATAAATCAGACTGTTCGAATTACAGAGGTATTACTCTGCTCTCCATTGCTGGTAAAATCCTGGCAAGAATACTTTTGAACAGACTAATACCCGCTATAGCAGAAGGAATTCTACCTGAAAGCCATTGTGGTTTCAGAACCAACAGCAGTACCACAGACATGGTATTTGTCCTCAGACACCTGCAAGAGAAGTGTAGGGAACAGAACAAAGGTCTCTACGTAACCTTTGTTGACCTCACCAAGGCTTTCGATACTGTGAACAGAAAAGGTCTATGGCAGATTTTGGAACATTTAGGATGTCCCCCCAAGTTCCTTAAAATTATCATCTCACTTCATGAGGATCAGCGCAGCCAGGTCAGATATGGCAATGCACTTTCTGAGCCCTTTGTAATAACCAGTGGTGAGAAACAAGGCTGCGTTCTCGCACCAACTCTATTCACAATCTTTTCAGCATGATGCTCCAAAGGGCCATGGCAGACCTCAATGATCAGGACGGTATCTACATTCGATACCGTACTGATGGAAGCCTTTTCAACCTAAGGCAACTGAAGGCCCACACTAAGACCTTAAATCATCTTGTCCAGGAGCTGCTTTACACTGATGATGCTGCCCTCATCGCCCACACAGAAGCAGCTCTGCAGCGTTTAACATCCTGCTTTGCAGACACTGCTGAGCTTTTTGGGCTGGAAGTCAATTTTCTATCAACCTGCACCTCGGGACGTCTTCCATCATCCCCATATCACCATTGGCCAATCAGAGCTCAAATCGGTCCAGCAATTTAATTACCTAGGATGGTAAGATTGACGGAGAGATAGACAACAGGTTAGCAAAGGCATATAGAGCTTTTGGAAAACTCCATAAGAGTTTGGCGGAATAAACAACTGAAGAAGAGTACAAAGATCAGTGTTTACAGAGCCATAGTGCTGTCTACTCTTTTATATGGTCTGAATCATGGGTCATCTACCGCCACTACCTGTGACTCTTAGAATGCTTCCATCAATGCTGCCTCCATACAATCCTAAACATGCACTGGTCAGATTAATATGTCTGTTCTAGAACAAGCAGTAGCTACAAGTATTGAGGCCATGTTGCTGAGAACACAGTTGTGTTGGGCAGGACATGTCTCCAGGATGAAGGACCACCGCCTCCCTAAGATCATGCTCTATGGTGAACTTGCCACCGGCTGCCGCATGAGAGGAGCCCCGAAGAGGAGATACAAGGACTCCCTGAAACAACATCTCAGCCTTGGCCATATTGATCAACATAACTGGTCTACTCTGGCCTCCAATCGGGAGGTCTGGAGACACACCATCTATAACGCTGCTGATGCTTTTGAGAACGCACTCAGGATCACTCTCGAGGAGAAAAGACAATGCAGAAAGAACCGTGTCCTGTCGATACCACCTAAGGAGTCTTTCTGCTGTTGCTTTCCTTTTGCAACTGGACTTGTCTATCTCGTATTGGCCTTTTTAGCCACCAGCGCGCTTGTAGCAAGTGTGGATAGAGTCCTTCCCAAATCTTCATTCGTGAAGCCTAGCCATGATGAATCTTCTTTGGAGTACATTCAGCTGAATCTGGATTTATTTGAAATAACATATCTGGTTAGGAAAATGTCTATTTTTATTTCTCTCATTTTTTACAAGGTAACAGTTTAAAAAAAAAGGATTATTTCTAAATTGTCTTTATATTTTCCTCTACTTCCACCTATTGGCCTTACACCTAAGATCTACCTCCGACCCTATTACAGTGAGGACAGGATACATAAGAATTCTTCTGCATAAACAAGCTTTTATTTTATTAACTATAAATTTTAAGTTAGATGTGTGATCTGATGAATTAATGGCTGACAAATTTGCTTTAGAGTGTTCACAGTCAAAAAGAATGTTTCTTTCTAGAACTATTGGCAAAGAAATGGTTCAGTGTGAGAAAAAAAATTGCCAACCTGTATTTTAAGAAAGTATTTCCTGGTTTTTATTCTCTTTACATTTAAAATATAATGAAAATAAAATTCTAGTTCTATAAAGAGCTGTATAAAAGATTAAGAACTACCAGTTAAATCACAGAGTAATTTAGGTTGAAAGGGACCTCTAAAGATCATATAGTCCAAGTCCCGTCTCGTTAGGTGTTGAGTATCTCCAAGGATGGAGACTCCATAAGCTCCCTAGGTAACTATGTTCCACTGTTCAATCACACTCATAGTGAGGATATTTTTCTTTCTAATTCCTTGTTGTGACTTGTATCTGCAAGTCATTTGTCTTTTTGCTGAGTACATCCAAGAAGAGTCTGGCTCTGTCCATCCTCTGCATACCGTTTCATTAGGTAGGTGAAGACATCCTCATTTAGCACTCCCCTCTTAAGACAAAACCCTTTATCTCAGACTCTCCTTGTGCACCACCCACCCCAGTCACAATTGCAGGGAACCCTGCCGCACTTACTTCAGTATCTCAACATCCTTCTAATACAGCAGAATTAAACATGGACACAGATGTGGCATACCAAAGAAATTTCTGATTATTTTTCAAACATGCTTTGGAGACATGGGCTTTCAGGGCATGATGAGCTTTTACATTAGCTTTATTCATTGCCATGGCATCACTTTATAGTAGGTGGACAAGTACTAATTGAGAAGTAAAATTGAAAACACAAGCGACAACAAAACTACTTTTGCACTGACCAGATGCTAAGACAAATGGACCAATAGCCCCATCCTGCAGGGAACATAAAGCCAAAGGTAAAGAAACACTAAGTGCTTGCAGCACAGGGATGTTTTGATATTTTCCTAAGGAAAATATATTGTATAGCATACAGTCTAGAAATCTGTAGAATGAGTCTTTGTGAATGGCAACAGTGTGGTATTTGCCAGTGGGGCAGTCCAGACCAGAGAAGCTTCTCAGTATCTAGGCACTTGTAAATCCTACATCCTAGACCCATCCCATTCAGGCATACATTGTCTGCAGACTCTGGAAGCCAAGCAAAAAGCAATCATATCCCCAGATGGCAAGTAGAACCAAGTCTACTTACAGAATTTAGATTTAAGGTATTTGTTCACCTCCCACCAATAACTGCAGAAGTGGAATAGTGAGCTGAGAGTCAAATGATCCACTTCACTGGTAAGTACAGAGTCTGCTGTCAAAGCCACTGGATTGCCTACAGCTAGGCAGGCATCTGAGAAGCCTTAACAAGTCAGGGCATCGACAACTTGGTATCTGCAATCCTGCAATAACAGAGCTGGCAGACTGTAGGACAGTTAGGCAATGTAATTCTCTACCGATTTTATCTTCACAAGAGGAATGCAGTTTGTGCAGCTGAGGGATACCAGTATATCTCAGTGTCCTAAACATTGTGAATTTCTGTTGAAATTTTTTTTAACCACTGGAAATGTTTTATTTCTGCAGCTTTATCAGTACCTTGCACATTACTATATCATACATGTTCCGTTACATTCATTACTCACACAATCATTTAAAAAAGTTAAAAAATATGTATTTTCGGGGTATATACTTAGGCTTTCTGGAAAATTACAGGTTCATGAAAAGAAGTGTCCAGTTAGAGAGAAAACACATCTGTTACATACATCATAATATTTATTACAGGTTTTTAAGGATTATGTACTTATATCCCTAGAAATTTTTCTACTCAGTGAGAAGCAATGGTGTGATTTCCCACTTAACAGACAGCAAAATTAATAAACCACAGGAAAAAATTCTGTGGGAAACCATATCTCAGTAGTACCTGAGTTCAAGAAAATACTGGTCTTTGCTTTTTGAAAAATAAAGACAAAGGCAATCTTTCGTCATTATATCTAGACAATATAAATTAATGGAAAAAGTAAAAGTAAGGAGCATACTCAACTTTTTTCTCCACTGGTCATATTTTTCCCAGCAACATATAACTCATGGCTACATTTTTAGCAGATTATATTCCAAATAGGTGAATGTCATTGCTAACATCTAAAAGCTGCTGCTGGGGGAAAAAAAAAAAGTCATTACCAACTGAAATTCTGTCCTCCAGAAAGCTGTCTACTCATCCTTTATTTAAGCTTGAAAAAAACGTGGAAAATTATTACAGAGAAACTTACTTGTGGGAGACTTGCAGCTGATATGCTCACACAATAATACAAAACTGTTGAAATAAATGATTAAAATAAAACACAACACACATTCCCCATTTTACTAACCGGACCTTCCAGGATGTTGAAATGCCAACATACAGACTATGTAGATGCTTCAAAAGTGAGTGTGACAATATAATCTCCCCTTCTTTCCTACTGTCTCTGCTGTCAGCCTGGTTCTGCTATGGCACAATTGCATAACCTTTGCTCAGATTTTTTAGGAAATCATTAAATTGAGAGAAAGCTCTATGAAGAAGTCCACAGAGTCGAGCCATGAAATATAAGAGAGATAAAATTGGAGATAAAGGATGCTGAGATTGGGCCAGGCAAGAAGCTCAAGAGGAAGAACATCAATGTGGAAAGATGATTATCATCTCAAGGGAAAAAATTAGGTGGAAGACAATCTGGATGAGGGGATCGAATGCACCCTCAGTAATTTCACAGTTGAGTGGGACTGTCAATCTGCTGGAGGGTGGGATCTGGACAGGCTGGATCAATGGGTCGAGGCCAATGGTGTGAAGTTCAATACGGCAAAGTGCTGAGTCCCACCCTTGGGTCACAACAACCCCATGCACCACTACAGGCTTTGGGAAGAGTGGCTGGAAAGCTGCTCGATGGAAAAGGACCTGGGGTTGCTCATCAACAGCCAGCTGAATACGAGCCAGCAGTGTGCCCAGGTGTCCAAAAGGGCCAATGGCAACCTGGCTTGTATCAGACATAGTGTGGCCAGCAGGACTAGGGAAGGGATCATAGCTCTGTTCTCAGTACTTGTGAGGCCACAACTCAAATACTGGGTTCAGTTTTGGGCCCCTCACTAGAGGAAAGACATTGAGGTGCTGGAGTGAGTCCAGAGAAAGGCAATGAAGCTGGTGAAGGATCTGGAACATAAGTCCTATGAGGAGCGTCTGATGGTACTGAGGTTGTTTAGCTTTGAAAAAAGAAGGCTCAGGAGGGACCTTATCACTTTCTACAACTACCTGAAAGGAGGTTGTAGCAAGGTGGGGGTCAGTCTCTTCTCCCAAGTAACAAGCAATAGGACAAGAGGACATTGCCTCAAGTTGCACAAGGGAAGTTGAGGTTGGACATTAGGAAAAATTTCTTCACTGAAAGGGTGGTTAAGCATTGGAAGAGGCTCCCAGGGAAGTGGTGGAGTCACCATCTCTGGAAGTCTTCAAAAAATGAGCAGATGTGGCACTTTATGAAACAGTCTAGTGGGCATGGTGGTATTCGGTCAAAGGCTGGACTTGATTATCTTGGAGGTCTTTTCCAATTTTAATGATTCTATGACTCCGTGATCAAGCATGTGCCACAGGGAGCAGTGAAAGCTTACCCTTTTCCATCCGACTAGCAAAGACTCCATAGGTGGTTAACATACTAATACTCCTTTAGTAGGGCATTAATCTTGACTATCTGTTGTGTGTATTAACCACAAAGTAACTCCTTTACATATAACTGCACATGGCAAGAGATGACAGAACAAAGTGGCCCAGAAAAGGAGAGTGAGATAGGTGTGCTGGTTTTGGCTGGGGTAGAGTTAATTTTCTTCACAGTGGCTAGTATAGGGCTGTGGTTTGGATTTGTGCTGAACACCGGGCTGATAATATAGAAATGCTTTTGTTATTGCTAAGCAGGGATTCCACAGAGCCAAGGCCTTTTCTGCTTTTTTGTACTGCCACACTGGTAAGGAAGCTGAGAGTGCATGGGAAGTTGGGAGGCACAGCCAGGACAGGTGACGCCACTTGATCAAAGGGATATTTCATACCATATGACATCATGCTCAGTACATAAAGTGGGAGGGAAGAAAATGGAAGGGGGGGGCATTTTGAGTGATGGCATTTGTTTTCCCAAGTAAATGTTATGGGTGACAGAGCCCTGCTTTCCTGGGAATGGCTGAACACCTGCCTGCTCATGGGAAGCAGTGAATTAATTCCTTGTTTTGCTTTGCTTGTGTGTGCGACTTTTGCTTTCCTTATTAAACTGTCTTTATCTCAGCCCATAAATTTTTTAACTTTTACTCATCTGATTCTCTCCCTGATCCCACTGGTGGGAAATTGAATGAGCAGCTGTGTGGTGCTTGGCTGCTGGTTAGGGTTAAGCCACAACAGTAGGCAATGGGAAGTCATTTTGGCAGCAAAGGTATGTAGTAACAGAGAAGCAAACTGAAGGTGCCACTGCTGCAGATGGAAAGAGGAAAGAAGTCAAGCAACAAAGCCTTGTGCACATTAGCTCTGAGTGACAATGATGACTTTTGTTCTGAGCATGGCAGGTTATGTCACAGAAAATATTTAATTTATGGATCTAGGCTGAGCCATAGCTTTTCAGCACAAACCACCCATGTACACATGCAAGTGTCAGAGACCCCTTCAGTGAGCCCAAGACCTGGGAGGCATCTCTGAAAGTAGACACCTCATTAACCATGGGAAGTAGAACTTTGTGGGCCTCACATGTCTTTCCCAGCATAAGTGGTGCTTCACCATGTGGTGAAATATTTGCTCCATGATGTGACAACTGCTCCAAATGCCACCCACTCTCACTGCTGGTGGTTTCTGCTTAATCCTACTCCCATGAATCTGCAAGTCACACCCCACAAGCCTCTCTCCCACACACCATTTTAAAAGGTGGCACAGAAACCCATCAGTCTAGCCCAGACCTGCTCCACAGAAACACCCTTGCAGATTCCTGAGCTACTGCCCACCCACAAAGCAGTTGGGCCACCTACCCTGGGCAAGGAGCCCCCCAGGGCCAGCCAGAGCTTGCAGCTGGGCTTAGTCCAGCTAAGGACCACTGGACTTAAGAGCAGAGCCCATGAGGGACAGCAGCTGGGAAGAGCCCATGCACTCAGCACAGCCCCAGCTGTGCTTTCCCCACATGTCACGAATCATAGAATATCCACAAAGATCATTGAAGTCCAGCTCTTGGCCCTACACAGGACCATCCCAAGAATCATACCATGTGCCTGAGAGCATTGTGTAAGTGCTTCTTGAACTCTGTCAGGCTTGGTGCTGTGACCACTTCCCTGGGGAACCTGTTCCAGTGCCAAACCACTCTCTGGGTGAAGAACCTCTTTCTAAGATCCAACCTAAACCTCCCCTGACACAACTTCAGGTCATTCCCTCAGGTCCTATCACTGGTCACCACACAGAAGAGATCAGTGCCTGCTCCTCCTCTTCCCCTCACAAGGGAGTTGTAACTGCAATGAGTTTCCCCTCAGTCTCCTCTTCTCCAGGCTGAACAAACCAAGTGACCTCAGCTGCTCCTCATACAGCTTCCCCTCAAGGCCCTTCACCATATTCATTGCCCTCCTTTGGACGCTCTCTAACAGCTTAATATCTTTCTTATGTTGTCGTGCCCAAAACTGCACACACAGTATTCAAGGTGAGGCCGCACCAGTGCAGAGCAGAGCAGGACAATCCCCTCCCTTGACCGGCTGGCGATGCTTTACCTGATGCCCTCAGGACACGGCTGACCCTCCTGGCTGCCAGGGCACTGCTGACTCACGTTCAACTTGCCATCGACCAGGATCCCCAGGTCTCCAGCCTCTCGTTCCCCAGTCTATACTCACAACCAGGGTTTCCTCATCCCAGGGGCAGAATCCGGTACTTGCCCATGTTAAGCTTCACACGGTTGCTGACTGCCCAACCCTCCGATTTGTCAAGGTCTCTCTGCAGGACCTCCCTTCCTTCGAGGAAGTCAACAGCTCCTGCCAACTTAAAATTGTTCTTTTATTCACACCCCACACCAGGGCCCCCGGAGCGCAGGAGGCGGTCGGGCCGCTCTCTGCTCCCACCCCTGCGCCCGCCCCGCCCCGCGCGGCTTCCGGACGCGCTGGGAAGTGGGGCAGAGGTGAGGGCGGCGAGCTGGGCTGGGCTGGGCGGGCCGGGCTGGCAGCGAGCCGGGCGCGTCCAGGCCGGGGTGAGTGGTGGCCTCAGCGGGCCTCTTTCCTCGGAGGTGTGCGGCCGCGGGGCAGAGGGGTGGGCTCGGCTCGGATCTCTCCTTACTCCCGGCCCCGTCCGCCCGGGGCTCTCCGGGGCAGCTCCTGGGATCGGGCCCTGAGCTTGCTGTAAGCGGCACAGCGGTGCCGCGAGCCCCCCGCCCTGCTCGGCCCGCCCCGGGTAGCGCGGGGTCGGGAGGCACGGCCGGGGGCCTCGGGGAGGGTCTGCGGGGGCGGCGAGCTGGGGCCGCCAGCCGGGCCGGGAGAGCGATTCCACCTTCCCCAGTTGTCCTCCGGTCTCGGGCGGGTTCTCCTCGGGAAAGAAAGCGACAGTCCTCGAGCTGGTTAATCGCGACATGCTGAGCATCAATAGCCGCCTGGGCATCGTTTCCCCCTGTTATGTGTGTGCCTCTCGTGGCTGCAAGCCAACAAGAAGTCCTCAGTCCAGGCTTTGTCGAGGGGTGTTTCCTGATATGTCTTTTATCGTCTAAATGGCGGGAGGCCGGAGCGGGAGAGATTTGTCATCGAACTTTGATTCTGTTTGGTTTTGCCGCAGATCTGCATCATGGAAAAGCAAGTGCTTGAATCCACAGAGGAGCGGACGTTTCAGTACCAAGATTCTCTGCCATCACTGCCAGTACCTCCTCTTGATGAATCTTTAAGTAAATACCTCGATGCAGGTAATGATTTAGTGTGGTAATGGTAGCGTGGCATGTGCTGTTTTAACCAGGCTGATCTGAAGATGTTTGCGAAGTGATTGTAGAGACAGCTTGTATCAACTGGTGTAATTGGGGTGTGGGATACGCACAAGCTTAGAGTGCCAAAGGTCTTTTTCAGGTTCAAACCTTAATTGTCCGGAGCAGCCTGAGTAAAAGTTTTCATTTTATTCCTAATTACCTTTCTTCAAGGGAATTGGGCATGTGGGAAGGTTAACTTTTTGGTTTGAGGGTGGATTTTTTGATTGTTTTTTCCAGCCGTATCAGCTGGTCTAATAAAAGATATTTCTCCATCAACAAATTTTGTTTTGCATAACTGCTCATTTATGACTGTGTTTGGCCAGGATCTTTGTAAAAAAGCAGTTGTTTCAAGCTTTTCATACTTAACATCAGTGAGAAAGAAGAACATTTACTAAGTATACAGTAGTAAGAAAAGGCAGTGGTGAGCATTTATTTGATAATTTAATTTGAATAATTTCTTCCTTGAAATGTTGACTAGTCTAATGATGATCACATAAAAGTTTTGAAAAATATGTGAATGCACTTGTGTCTAGCTTTGTTTACAAAGCAGAGATGACTAGTTGGTTCTTTATTATCAGGTCTTCATATATTGGGATTGACAAAGATACATTATCTTGATACAGTATCTTGAGATTACTTTCTTAAGTTTCTTCAATAATTTTCAGAATTCTGAGACATTGAGTTTTTTTCTGGAACATTTGCTTTGTGTCTTTACCATCTTACATGTATTGGAGGAATACTAACAGAGTAAGACTTGGATTTCTCTCCTTAGCAGGAACAGACTACACCAAAACTTCCCTTTCCCAAAATAGAAATCCTGATGTTGACTCTGAGTTCCCATTTATTCTGAGTGTAGTGGAAGTGACCCACTTCTTTAATGTTCATTACATCATTGCTTTTCAATGCAGAGTGTTGAAATGGTGGTTTTAGAGCAAAAGAACTGTGTATGTATTCATGTCTGAAAAATACATTTTAATTTTGTTGTAGTACAGTTGTGCTAAAGTTGTGCTGTAATAGTAGTGAACCTGTGATAACAAAATTCCTGTTTAGTTTTGTTAGCCGAGCTGGCTCTCTAAGTTAATATACAACTCTCTCATGGAGTGATAAAGTCTTGACAGTGATTTGTTTGCTCTTGTTTTCTGATTATGATCTGTGTTTTCATAAATAACTTATCACATGTCCTTTCGTTTTCATGCTGAAGTTAGTTGCTACTTACTGTTGCTTGTACATAAATCATGCTATAACTTGAGTCATTGTTGCTCTCCTTTATGCTCACTGGCAGTAGGAGAAAAATTAATCCAGTATTTGCTGTTCTGCCACAGTCTTCCCTTGTAGAAATCACTTAAAGCCAAAGTGTGTAGTCCACAGTTCTAGACACTAGCTGTGTGGTTCTCATTGCTTAAGCTTGTTATTTGTTTTAGTCTTTGAAGGTGAGTGAAGGAACGGAGGTGCTTCTGAAGAACCATTCAAAACCTCCAAATGATTTGATAGAGGCTCTAAATCATTCCAGGGAAACTGTCTTTCATTGGAGGAGGACTCCAGGCACTTGTCTTTTTAAAGCCAGTCAACTGGAAAAGCTGTCTCAAAATATGCCCAATTTAAGGCTTTACACGTAGCTACCTCTTCTTTAATGAGTTAACCTTGTTTTGAAAGTAAGCCTTGAGAAGAGAAGGTGGCCATACCCACGTTATTTAGCTTTCCAGTTCACCCCAGAGGTCAAGATTCATAAACTTGGACTCAACATGAGAGTATGAAAACCCAAAGTTCCAGCTTTCCAGAGGTTCCTTAACTATGCAACTGAAGGTGTCTTTCATGGGATACTTCTTGTTCATGGACAGAGCTGATGTCCTGTTCAGAAAGGAAGACAAGATCTGTGGGCTGGAGAAAGTGGCAAGAGAAGTTTGACTGAACTCTAGTGAGAAAGGGACTGAGTTCTGTTCCTTCCTAATAGCGCTGCTTCTGCATCTCATTAAATAGTTTTTCAAAGGAAAGAGACCCTGTAGGTATAGGGTGGGAAGAGTTCATCTGGACTAGATTCCTGTTCAGAGCTTTTCCAACTACCGCAGGTTGCTCTGGACTTGCTTAGCCAGATTTTGTTTATCTGCAAGGATGGAAATTCCACAGCCCCTGTTATGTAACCTGCTCTGGTGTTTGATCACCCTCACTATTCAGAGGAGGAGGGAGATACAAAAAAACAAACCAGAAACTTCATATTTTCCTTGTCAGAAATTTCCCATATTCCAACTGTATTCCATTTTCTGTTATCCTATTTCTCTGCATCTCTGAGAGGAGCTATGCTTTATCTTCACTATGCCTTTACGTTCAGTTGAAGAGTGCTGCAAGGTCTTCCCTTTGCATTCTCTTCATAAGCTGAACAAACTCAGTTGTCAGACCCATCTCGTCGTGTTCCAATCTAAGGATTCTAGGAATAGAGACCAGAACCTAGTGATTTTGCTTTTTTTTTCATTTTCTACATGCATATTGCTCTGTAATGACTTTATAACTTGAATAACAGAGGATAATCACTCTCTCTTTCAAATTGTATGTGTTAATAAGGTTACTCGCTGTGAAACCTGAGTGTTGGACTTCCCTCAGTCTGGGAAGGCTTTCAACTTCAGGTTTCCTGGGTGACAACTATAATCTGCTATATGGTATAGGTGAATGGCTCTCTCACTTATTATTTCTTTCTTCATCTGTCTTCGCAACTGGTGGTGTGCAATTCAAGCTGCCTCTGGATGAGGTCTAGATGTGTTAAGTCACTGCGTGAGTGTTCATAGCTGATCATCTGTGGTGAAGGTGTAAGGGGAATGCTGGTACCTTTCCAATCATGATGGTCTTACAGTGGAACTTAAAGAGGTCCCAATGCAATTTAAACACAATCACTGTATGCTAATATTTGACAATGGATGTTCTGTCTTGCTGCCTAAGGTTGTCAGCATATGTTTAAAACTACATTTGTTGGTGATATTTGGCCCTCTCCATGTTTGCCCTATGGAATAGGAAAATATCACTAGGATTTGCATTATACTGTTGTGGAGTACCATAAAGAGGCCAGGATGCACCTGAAAATGGATCCTTATCTTTCACGTCAGGACAGGTAATGCAAAATGCTGAAATGTGTTATATAATTAGGATAAAAATTGAATTATTTGGAAGAGGAGTGAGGAGGACTTAATCTTGGAGGAAGAGGATCAACACTGAACAGATTACATGTGAAAAACTACATGAGTCATGTTGGGTTGTGCCCGTGAGTGCTGAGGGAGCTGGCCTTTGTCATTGGAAGGGCACTTCTGATAATCTTTGAAAGGTCATGGTGATTGGTGAAGGTTCCTGAAAAATGGAAGAAACCAGATATTACTGCTGTCTTCAGGAAGGACAAGAAGGAAGATTTGGGTCACAACAGAATAATCAATCATGCTTTAATCCCTTGCAATCCCTGGCAAATAATCATGGATACTATTTCTGATCATATGAAGGACAAGAAGGTGGCTGGGAGTGGGCATCTCTGGCTTGTAAAGAGGAAATTGTGCTTGACCAACTTGATAGCTTTTTATGATGAGGTGATTGTCTCGCTGGATGAAGGAAGAAGAGTGGATATTGTTTATATTGATCTTAGCAAGGCTTTTGGCACATCAAAAGCTTTTTTAAAAAATTCCTCATAGATGAACTAATAAAACATGAACTAGGTAGTGGACAGTCAGTTGGGCTGAAAACTGTCTCAGCTGCTGGGCTCAAAGGTTTGTGATCAGCAGCGCATATTCCAATGTAGGCCAGTCTCTGATGATGTACCCCAGGGGTCCAGTGATTTTTAATGTGTTCATTAATGACCCGTGTTAATAAGTGTCCCGTGCATGATGGGACAGAGTGCACTCTGCATTTGGAGAAGATACAAAGCTGGAAGGAGTGGCTGATATGATGGTTGTACTGCCATCCAAGGGACCTTGACAGGTTGGAGGAACAGGCTGACAGGAGCCTCATGACATTCAACAAACAGGGAAATGCCAAGTCATTCACCCAAGGGGGAATAACTTGATGCACCAGCACAAACTGGAACCGAGTGCATGGAAAGCAGCTTTGCAGAAAAGCCCCTGGGATCCTGGTAGGCCTAAAGATGAACATGAGCCAGCATGTGGCCTTGCAGCAAGGCATGCCAGTAGCCTTCAGGGCTGTATTAGGAAGAGCATTGCCAGCAGGTACAGAGAAGTGATCCTTTCCCTCTGTTTGGTACTGGGGAGGACACATCTGGAGTTCTGTGTCCATTTCTGTATTCCCCAGTACAAGCAAGATATGGGTGTACAAAAAGGAGCCCAGAGAGGGGCCATGAGGGTGATTAAGGTCTTGGATTATCTGACATATAAGAAGAGACTGAGAAAGCTGGAATTGTTCAGATCTTTGTAATATGTGTGATTACTTGTGGAGGAGTAAAGAAAGTGAAGCCAAGCATCATAGTAAGAGATGATGGGCACAAACTGAAATACAAAAGATTCCTTTTAAACATAAGAAAACTCTTTTTATTGCAAGAGTGGTCAAGCACTGGAACAGGTTGCTACTAGGGCAGTTGTAGAGTCTCTGTCCTTGGAGATATTTGAACCCAATACAGCTCTGAGCAACCTGCTGTAGCTGACCCTGCTGAGATGAAGTGTTTGACTAGATGAACAGAAGATACTTTATACACCAGGTGAGTATAAGAAAAAAATGAAGTGTGCCTGTATGGAAGCTGACATCAACAGTGCCTGTTACTGATTTCATGGTAAAAAGGCTTTAAGGGGGGTTTAGATTAAAATAATGACTAATTTTGCAGATGTTTATGGAGAACTTTGGCCTATGTGGCACACGATCTGAGAGAAATCCAAAAGGATTTAAAAATAAAAAAACTGGCTAGCAGTAACTGCATTTGATATCATTCAAAGGTGGGCATAACCCAGGGACAGTGAATGAGAATTAAGTTGCAAGGGCAAGTTGCTTGTAGGCCATGGACTTGAAAATAAAGGCAAGCAGCTTATAGTTGGTGCAGTAGGGTGGCAGACATATGTGGCATAATGTGTTAATTTACAAAATTCCTACAAATTTAATTACTTGGTGAATTCTGTCACAGATGATGAGGTTGCAGAATTCTGTAGTATTTCCAGCTTATAAATATATTTGATTTAGTTATCTGTTAGGTATTTCAGGTTTTCAGCAATTGCTTTCATGTGCTAGCTTCTGTATTTATTTAAAAGTATATATTTATGTTTTATTAGAATACATTGATTTATTTAAATATTTTTAAAAGGTGTTCTCTCTTCAAGTACTTGTTTTAGAAAAATAAATTTTCATCCACTCCCTTGCCTGTGGATATCTGAATCTTGGAGTAAATGTCAGGATACAGTTGTCTTTAAAATAAAACTGTTTTCTTTTTGCAGTGAAGCCATTTCTAAATCAAGAGGAATATCAAAGAACTGAGGATATAGTTAAAAAATTTGAAAATGGCATTGGGAAAGAGTTGCATCAGAAATTACTGGAAAGAGCTAAAATGAGAAGGAATTGGGTATGTGTTTAGATATATAAGAAATCTTAATTCAACTTATGGAAAGTTGGTTATTCAGGATATAATTCAAAGAGTCATTTCACTTTTTTAAATCTTAGGATCTTCCTTGTATCTGCCACTTGGCCTGTGGGTATGAAAGCATTTATTTTCATGTGTGATTTGGTTTTTTTCAAAGCTGAGTAGCTAAGAGAGCTCACCAGCTGAAATTATAGTTACTTACCAGCTTTTGAATGCTTTGTCTATCAGTCTCTCCTTCTATGACATCTGTCCCTGCTCTCTCCACCTTAGCAAAAAAAAAAAAAAAAAGGCAAACAAAAGAGAAGCCCAACAAAACAAAAGCCTGGAATCTAGAGTTTGGTCTCTCTCTTTCACTTCCCAGAAGGAGGCTATGTGGTAGCATTTTAAAGTTGTGTTTCAACAGAGAAAGGAATATGAGGAAGGTCACTACCAAGTGGAATTCATGAGAACTTTGTAAATCTTAACATGACACATTCCGGAGTGGGGATTTTCAGATGATGACGAAAGCTATACATTATAAACTCTGTCTCAGATCCCCTCTCAACACAAGTCTACTTTCTTTCCATTCTCCATGGAGTAATCTCTCTGATATTTGCAGCAGCCACAGCTGACATCTGCAAGACTTTAAGATGATGAATATCAGGGAAGAAATGTTCATGATAATTTACAGTTTAATATTCTTAAACAGTATTGAATTTTATTTCAAGCTTGAAAATAGAAGAGCTAAATGTGTCGTTACCTTCAGCAGTTAGTTTTGAACCACTGTCCTGCCTTGTGTTATATAGGAACTACTATTCAAAGTACTAAAAAAAAAAAAGGAAAAAGTGCAGGCAATTGAACACTTAGGTGATTATTAAAGAATTAATGACTAAAAATTAATTAGTTCTGATGCTAAACATTTTTCATTTCAGCTGGAGGACTGGTGGCTGAATGTGGCTTATCTTGATCTTCGCATCTCAACACAAATACACTGTAATATGGGAGGCCCTGGTCCCTATATTGAACACTGCTGGCCACCAAAAGAGGGCACTCAGATAGAAAGAGCATGTGTAAATATATGGCACACCCTGAAATACTGGGATCTGTTACGAGCGTAAGACTTCACAAAAAAATAATTAATCCTAAATATTAATGATCTATGTATCCTTTAGTTCAAATATGTGCTTATGTTCATTGATATGCATTCTTTGCAGTAAAAGACAGGTTTGTCTAACCTTCATTTAGTTCCATCATTATAATTTCTCATATTTAATTTTGGTGTATTTGTTACTACAGAGAGAAGGTGACCATAGAGAGATCTGGGAATACTGTTCTGGACATGAACCAATTTCGAATGCTCTTCTGCACTTGCAAAATTCCTGGGGTTACCAGAGACTCGATCGGCACTTATTTTAAAACTGGTAAACAAATGAAAATTGGGGGTTAATACAAGCAAATGATTTTTATTAATGGGCCAATGGAGTGCTCACTTTAACCATAAAATACTTGCTTCCTCAAGCACTAGGTCAGATACTAGTTGTTGAGTGCTTATATAAGAAAGCAAAGAAGACATCTCACCTACAAGTGCCCTTTTTGGTCCAATATTTAGTCCTTACTAAATAAGAGTAAAAAAAAGCTCTACTTCAAATTGTATGTTACCAGTCTGATACCTATAATAAGTGTGCCAGCACTAAGAATTGAAAAAAGACAAATTCTGTGTGTTATAACTGTGTATGGATTCCATGTATTACATGGACAGAATTTCAACATCATTAATAATTGCATGTTTTTGCACATTTGAGAAGGTATTTCTCAAGTGTATTCCCATATATTCTGTTGGGATAATTCTTGCTTATTTTTTATCATTGTGCTCTTTCTTGGCTTGGTCAACTGCTTCTACTATCAGTCTTGAAAGTACTTCATAGAGCTCCATAAAGGCATTCTCTTAAACTCCCGACAGTTTTCTAGGGTTCAGGGTCAAGAGCTAAAGTGTAATGTTCTTATTCATCCTCCATTACCAAATACTGTAGCATTAGTAATCAGCAAACTGAAATCGTAACAGCCCTTCCACACACATTCTGATGCATCCAGGGTTGTTCAGCAGTGTCGCTCTAGATATCATGGACTCAGGAGTTCAAGAAGAAGGTATTGCCTTGCTCCATAGAAAATATCCAAGTAAATCTCCATACCACATGAGATGATGGGAAAATGCAAAGTTGAAGTCAGTTTTCAAGGGGAGTTTTTTGGCTTTTTTTTTTAGCATTACAGTTGAAGAGTCAATTCAAGTACTAAAACTTAGAAGAAACATTCAAATGGTGGGAAGTCAGTGTTCTGTTATGATCACACTTAATAAACAAAGGCGGAGAGGCAATTTATGTAATTTCTCTCCCTATTCTGCCTTAAAATATTGCAAGAACATCATTAAACAACAGTCTTGCTTATGTAATTTTTCATGTCATACACAGCAAGTGATATCCATTTCCATGTAGATTGTCTGCCTCCAGGTGAAATATTTGGTCCAGTTAGTTGTCTTGTTTCTCTGTGATTCATGGAGAAATACGAATACCTCCAGTGAAGGATTTGGGCCATTAAAATACGCAAGTATGTAAGATAGGTACTGTCTAAGGTAGAAGGAATTGCCATCTGGAAAGGGGTCTGTTTTTCTCCATTGGCCATAGGGGGAACTGGCATGGTCTAAACACTTGAAGTAGTATTTAGATTGCAGAGTAGAGCACCTAAAATTTGTCAGGTAATGTCACCTTGGAGCTAAAAACTGTACTAAAAGCCGAGGGAGCTGTTTGGTTCAGCCTGTAGCAGACATCTCCATGAGAACAGGTGAAGAGCTCATTAAAAGTTATTGAGTGTATTGGGTAGATCTCGACCACTGTATGACACTGTAGTGACGTATCAGACACATAATTCTAGGTATGGTAACTTCCAAACTTAATTCTGCCCTTTCCTGTAGGCAGCTAAGGTTAGGGGAATGCTACCTAAAGTAATTGAATTGGATGTCATCTCTTCTGATTTTTGCTATGTTACAAATTAATTTCATGATCTATGAAGATGAGGTCTAAATGAAATGACAGATTCCTCACTCTAGAATGTCTTTAACCAGGTATATGTTAAATTGTGTTATTTGATTTAGAAAGTAGGACCGTAAAGGTAGATATAACAGCCATACAGATAAGGTTAGGATTTCTTTGGATGCTCATTCAGTTCCATACTTGTGGGTAAAGTATACATTTCTTCTTTTTCCCAGAGAAGAGTACTTGGCTAGTTTGAGGAAAAATACAACAATGTTTCTTGGAATTTTAGCACCTAGGTCGTGTCTTCTCCAGCTTTAGTCTAATTTCCGGGTAGATGGGTTTGGTAGGGCAATGCTGGATAAATATACCTGGCCTGGAGCAGGCCAGTACCATCTGTGTTTATGTATAGTGGCCACATTGATGTGTCAGTGCTCCCTTCTTACAGATATACCTGTGCTGGTTAGGTGTGATTGACATGGCAGTGCATCACGAGGTGCATAACCAAAACTAGCAGCAGACTAGTTCAACAAACAACACTCATTCAAGCGAGAAATATTGCTAGATCAACTTTTCAGCAGGGAACACTCATTTCAACAGAGGAGGTTCCTGCAAGATAGCCAAATAAATGACACTTACTACTAGGTAATGGCAATGACTTGAAGTAGTTTATAACAATGAAAGTTATGTATGTCTTCTGTTGGTTTTTAAAATGTCTTCAAATTTGCAGTAAGATCATGCAGTTGGACTTAAAAAGTTACTCTTTTTTTAATCTTTCCTGTTTTTAACTGTATGAAGTCTGCCACATTTTGAACAAAAAAGGGTTTGTAGGACTTGCTGAGTTTTTCCTGTATCTGTCACTCACTTTATCCCCAAGGTTGGATTTTTATTTATTCTTATTTTTCATTTCAGAGGCTGAAGGTGAATGCCCATCTCACTTAATAGTTCTGTGTCGAGGTCGAGTGTTTGCATTTGATGCTATGCATGAAGGCAGTATGGTGACTCCTCCAGAGATATTCAGGTTTTCAAAATACCTTGTCTTAAATGAGCTGTCCTATTTAAGCTACGTACCAAGGAGGCTTTCTTTTTTCTATGTCCAGAGAATTAGGTTTGAGGGAGGCTGCAACTTCTCCTCTAGCTGAAGGTTCAGATTTGACTAAATTCTTGTTTACTGAATGGCAACTTCTTTCTGTAGAACATAATTATTATGTACTGCTGTACTACACCCATACAGCATCATACAAAAGGCTGAAATAAGATACTTTAGTAGAAAATATCCATTATATATGAAGCTTCTTTACATGGAAATATTAGGATTATGAGTATCATCATTCCTTTCAGGAATGATCCGCATAGATAATTATCTCATTGCTACTTAATCATTATCAAAGATGAAACACCACTGTCATGTTGATTTAAATCTAATACACTTGTGGTCAATTTTCTCAAGAGTAGAGAGGCTGGAATTTCTGTTGGTGAGAGCAGCAGAGTCCAAACCTGTAACATGCACTGATTGGCTTCCCGCAGCTACAGGGCAGTACAGCAGCATTTCACTTGCAGTTCTTTTCTTTGCCCCAGGCCTGTGACAACCAGCCATGTTTGTGGCTCTTCATGTTCCTGAGCTGCTGCAAAGGAACAGAGAGAAAGAATTTGGTTCTTCAAATACTAAATTTCAACAGTCGTGTAACAGGCAACGTTTAAAGCTTTTCTGTGCTGTATCTCCTATGTCCTGGTAGCATGTTCAGGTGCTGGCTTTTGAATTGTCAGTGCAGTTGTGGCCACAAAGTTTCCCACTCTGTTGGTCTAACACCGATGTCACATGCAGAAGTAGTTTCAGCATAAGTCTCTTGTGATCAATTTGGGATCTGTATGCATGTACTTACTAAGAAAGGGTTGTTAATCTTATCTAGGAATAACTTACTGCATTTGTCAAAGTGCTGCTTATAGAGCACAACAGAAGACTTGTCATTAAAACTGGCAAAAAGTGTACAGCCAAATTCCTCAGGCAAGACAAAAATTAGTTAAACTAAAAATCACTTTTTAAAAAAGTCTGGTACTTTAATATGTAATATTTTAATGTACATATTTTTGGTTTTTGTAGCTGTACCTGTTAAGCAAGTAACAAATAGATGAACACCTGGAGTACAGACAAAACCCCCAGTTGCATTAGCTACTGTCTATAGGAAGACCAGGTTGGGTTGGGTTTGGTTTGGTGGGGGGTTTTTTTGGGTTTTCTTTTATAACCTCATAGTGGGTGTCTTACATTTTTTATAACTATGTAACTAATGATCAGTAGTGAAGTTTAATGGGCAAGAGTGCCAGAACAAAGCACAAGCCAGGATTGAGTGCCTGTAATTTGTGGAGTTTCTTTAACACTAGAACAGCATGTGAAAAACTGAATTTGCAAACTTAAAATTACCTCTCTGCTAACAGTTCTTCTAAAGGAAAATGCAAGGAAAAGGTAGGAGGAGAATTACTCTCATGTAATTCAGACTCTACATTTAGGATATACTAAAGCTAGTGTTCTGCTTTAAATTTCAGGGTTTATTTTGAGTGGAATGTTTGTCCTGTACTGATTCATTGCTATAAATCTGCAAAGCCTGCAGTATTTCAGATGTCTGCACTCCACGAAGTCTGATCTACACTGTTGAAGTCTTAAGTCTAGTTTTAAATGAAGTGCATAATAACGCTTTAGAATCATGATTGTTTATATATAAGTTTGTACTGGGCTCGTAGATGCAGTTTGAATTAACCATTAGTGTCTAAAAACAGAGCAGTTCTTCAGTTGTCCTTAGAGTTTGAGGGAAATGATTCATGCTTCCTGAAAATTCACATTGGCTTGTGAACGTGGAACCAAAACTCCAGCTTTGCAAAAAAAAGAGAGGAAAAAAAGGTGACTTTTGTTTTCTCTCTGTCTGTTCTTGGTTAACTTCAGTTTTTGAAATCTTTTTACAGGCAACTTACATATATTCAGAAAAGATGCCATAGTGAGCCAGATGGACCAGGACTGGCAGCCCTAACAAGCAATGAAAGGACAAAATGGGCAGAGGTAGGAATATTTCAATAGTTGGTTCCTGAGGTATCAGGAAAAAGCCTTGTGATCACTGGAAATACATTATTTGACTTAGCTTTGTCTTTTTATGCTTTCTAGTTACGGGAATATTTGATTGATCTTGATCCAAAGAACTTAACTCTTCTGGAAAAAATTCAGAGAAGTTTGTTTGTGGTCTGCCTTGATGATTCTAGTCCCCATGCAACTCCTGAGGACTATACTGAGGTAGCTAAGGATTTTTGATAATTTATAACTGGTCATCTTCTCATAAAAATTTCTTCTGCATATATACAGTAGATTTTTGCTCTTTCATAACAGAAAATGAAGCAGATAAATTATGCAAATAATACTTCTTTTTGATCCATAGGAAAACTTAATAGTTTGAATTCTTAGGACATTAGAAGGGGGAATGGCTGAAATCTACCTTCATAACCTTTTAACCATCTGTCCTTCAGGGTTTTCAGAAACATAGTCATGAACTTTTTATCACACTTCTAATTAAAACTTGGGCTTATAATCATATTTCACTTGAACTGGATGAAAATGTCTGTCAGGGAGATCTCACCCTCTTAATGTAGACTAAGTTTAGCTGACAGAGGTTGGCAGTGTACTCAGTGTTTTTTAAAACTCATAGCATGTAACCTTTGCTTTAGCTTACAAGGCTGGGACTAACAGGTGATCCGACTGTGCGCTGGGGAGATAAATCCTACAATAGCATATTCTTTTCCAATGGAACCTGCAGCGCGTTCTGTGATGTAAGTTGAAATTTTTTCCATCTTATAAACCCTTTGAGTATTTGCTTACTGAATTTCCCCTTTCAGAGTATTATTTTAAATGCTTAATGTGTTCCTCTCTAGTATAGCCTTGTTTACCAGGCACCTTGTCTGACGACTTTCTAAAAGCAGCCTGCTTTCTCAGTGTTTGATATTATACCATACTTGAATTACGAACATGAGATCTGAAATAATTTCTTAGAGTATTTAATGAGGGAGTTCCAAAATAAAAAAAACCACAGTGCACAAGAAGGCTTAAAATTAACTCTTCGTATGATGCATCTGTTTGAACAGCTGTATTTTTTAAACTCCTGGTTTTTCGGACTCATTATTGCATGACCAGAAGGGCTTACATCTTGCCTGAAATCTGCCTTTCCACAGCAGCAGTACATTGTGCCTCTCTGTCCAGCTGCAGAGCAGTCAAAACAGTGGGTGGGCTTAAAGCAGTTTTCTGTTTATTGTAGAACTAGGAAAACAAGTGCAACCCTGTGCAGTAAAGCTGTTGATCTGCAGGTAAAAGAGTGGTGTAGGTAAAAACACAATTTGATCATCTTGCAGTCATGCAAATAATGTGATATCTTGTCTTCTCTGATTTTAGCATTCTCCTTTTGATGCCATGGCTTTAATTACCATGTTAGCTTATGCCGAAAAGAAGATTATTGAAAATGAGGGAAAATGGAAGGTATCTATGCTTTATAAACTTTCAAGTTTGTAGCTAACATGTATTTTCTTATGGATAATATATTCTGTTTTCCCTTTTTTCTTTCTGTCTTCATCTTCCCAGGGATCAGATAATGTGAGGGACATTCCATGGCCAGAGGAACTTGTATTCACAGTGGATCCAAAAATTATAAATGAAATTGGACGTACTAAAGAACTGTACTACAAGCAGGTGGAATTTCTTGATGCTTCTATTAGTTGTTTTTTTTCATTCTATTTACATGTTTTTAGTTGGTCTTTCTCCATGCTGGAGAAGAGGAATAAATATGTTATTGATGAATTGATGAATCGGGGGACTTAACAGGTGGTTAAATTTGTTGCATTGTTGGTTTCTGTGACTGTCTTTTGAAGTGGATCAAGTTGTGATATTTCTTGACTTCTGTGGGTTTTTTTCCTTTGCTATGACAGGTATCTGACTTGCAGCTGGTGTCTTATGCCTTCACATCGTTCGGCAAAGCATTGCTTAGGAAGAAGAAACTTCATCCTGATACATTTGTGCAGCTTGCCCTTCAGCTTGCTTATTACAAATGCCACGGACGGTAAGAAAACATCAGATTAGGAATAAAAAAACTAGTTTCTTGAGTAAAGAGGTGCAGGGGCTTTGCAATGTTAGCGTGTAATTTGCTATGGTGATGTAAGAATGAAGAACTAAGGGTTTTTTGAAGTAACAGTTGCATAAGACCATACTTGCTTCAGAATTTTGCCCTTGTGACCATAGGGATAACGTGTGTACATATTGTGGAATGGATGGCAGAACACAGTCCACAAAAAGGTGAATTTTAGCTGTACAGGGGAAATATTTGGGCAAACACCAAATGCTTAATGGGTCAGGATTCTCTACTGTCGAATAGTTGGTCAAATAGAGAAGAAAGCTTTATCTGTAGCAAGTGACAGCCATCAGTAAAATGTTTAGTCTTCCAAGCCTGTAAAAGGCCTCACAAACCTCAGTGTCTCACTGTCTTTAGCAGCATTGGATGTTAAGCTTTGAGCAGAATCATAGAGAGCCTCCAAATGCCTGCCTCTACATTTTTGGATGTGGCATTTTATTTTGTATTATTGATCAGAGGCATCATTCTTCCTGGTATTGGTGTTCCCAAGTTTCTATTTACTAACTAGCACCTATTATGGCTTGTATAAGTCGTTACTGACCTGGCGAGTATTGCGTGCTTCAGAAGGAAAGTTTCATCATAGGAGTGTGATGCTTAGTCACTGGTGATGTGATCACATTGTAACAAAGGCTGGTAGATCTCTGTTTACTGAACATTAGGATAAATTGTGTGACTGAAATAGCCTGTTTGGTCTGTTGTAAACACACAAGTATGTTTCATGGAAGTTGTATTTTAAATGGTAGACTGTCACAGAGCTGGACATGCTCCGGGTAAAAGCTGGATGGCTGTCAGTATGCAGCAGATAAGGTTTTGAACCTTTTCCCTCTAAATACATTGAGACATATGGCTTATTTTAAATGTGTCACTTAATTTTTGAGGGTTTGGGTGGTGTAGGTGGTTTCTTCAATGGAAATATATACGGTGAAACAGAAGTTTGGGTAATTTCAGCCTGTTTTTGCTAGAGCCTGGTAGATCTGTAGTCTGCAGAAAATAGCCATGAAAACACAGTCTTTTCAAGGTATGATTATAGTACTGGCACTTTTTTCAGTCATCTGTCTCATAAGAGTGCATAGAGTTCCTTTGTGGCTCTTTTTTGGACGCATAACTTAAAGAAAATTAGTGGGTTTCTGGTACTTGTAACTGAGCTAAATGTGTAAGATCTTTGGCAGGACTTTTTGAGTCCTTGAGAGAGCGAATAGTTTTGTTAAGGTAATGAGATACTCTTCCCTAATTTTTGTTCTTAGTCCGGGCTGCTGTTACGAAACTGCCATGACCAGGCGTTTCTATCATGGCCGCACAGAGACCATAAGACCGTGTACTATGGAAGCAGTGGAATGGTGCAAGTCCATGCTGGATCCTTCTGACAGTGTAAATGCTGAAATCCTGCTTTAATCATCATGTATTTAGAAGGCCTGTCATTTGAACTGCTTAAAACTTGCTCTTGTGTTGTCTCATTGATGGGAGTTGGCATCTTTCCAGTGAGACAGATTTCAAATGTTGAGTTGCTTAAACTCTAGTTCTGGTCACTGTGACTGAGGTGTGCTGTCATGTATGAGCTTGTTTGTTTTTCTATCCTATTTGACTTTTGGTTTCAAGAATGTAACTGTCTTGAGTTACGTTCACACTGATATTTTTTCACACCTCAAAAAGTTACTGGGTTGGATCTGAAGTATTCTGCTATGGTTATGTTTTTTTAATTTCCAAGTGAAATCAGGAAATGTTTATCTAATATTTGCATCAGAGAGCAAAATTGAAATCTGTTTGTGTCCTAGTGGCAACAGGAATGTATTCCAGAGTGTCTCTGAATAGCTGAACCAGAGACCTTTTCTTTTCCCAGCAGCTGCTTGGCTGGCAAAGCATGTCATGCATTTCTTTCCCAGTGAGAGCTGTACTAAAGCTCTTTTTGTTCTCCTCCCTGCACTTTTCTCAGAGCCTGAGAAATTAAGCAAGGAGAAGATTTTTGAGACAAAGGTCTATGTGTCTTTAGAAAATTCAAAGGGTGTATATTATTAATGCATCTGAAAAACATACAGGAATATGACTGTCAGAAAGTATGTGTGATTGATAATTCTAGCCTTCAAGAGAACTTTTTCCTGGTCTTCAGTGGCTTCTTTTGGCATGTGCTGCAGCTTTAAAATTCAGTTTTCTTTCCAAATCTGCTTTCCTGTTATTTCCCTGCTCTTCATTTACCTTCTAACCATTTATCAGGCTTCCAACACTAATGGTAGCCTTTTTCTCTTTGCAATATTAAATAGCATTTCCAAATATTGCCCTGTTGTTTTTTTTAATGCTGAACTCCTGGGGCTTAAAAACTGTGTTCAGTAGTATTGAAATTAACATGCTTAAAAGTCTGCCTTTAGGTACATTTTAGTACCTTAAAGTTATATATTTTGGAAAAAACACTTTTATCTCAAATTTTCGTTTGCTCCTTGTGAGCTTAGTAGCTTGATTTTTATTCAAATTGAGTGGCTGCTGCTCTTATTTCACATTCTGTGTTGCAACCTCTCATGTAATGAATAAAAGGACAGAGAGTGCTTCTTAAGTAGTTAAAGAACTAGCAAGATCTAAGATCTTTGAAGTCAAGATCTTGAGTGTCCAGAACTGTTTCCCCTTTATAAAAAACATGCTATTTATATTCTCTCTGATTCTAACACATAAGGCTCAATATAAAACTGAAAAAAAATAACGTTGGGCAGAACTGACAATTAGCAGAGAAAATTTGGGAATGCAGTTGGCATCTGTATATATTAGTTAGAGTCTTGTTTTGTTTTCCGCTTTTGTGTTTTTCATTTTTTTCTTTCCTTTTTTTGTCATGAAAAGTAATAGAATACAATATTTCTATTGGAAGGGGCCTACAATGATCATGTAGTCCAACTGCTTTGTCTGATTCAAGGCATGATGATCATGTAAGTGCAACCACACCTGGTAAAAGCTAGTGTCCTTCTGACTAAAGGGCATTATAGAAAATTTTGGGGTTTGATTACTCTAGTTCACAGTGGTTACTTTTCATTGTTTCAGATTTTCGGGAAAGGAGCATGAGGTTTAGAATATTGTTCAGTGCACAGGTGATCTGAGTAACAGAACAGAGATACAGGAAGCAAATGAGCACATTCTTCTGAAAAAGGAATTTGGATTTAGGAGAAGGAGTTTGAGAGAGCTTCTAATGTACCTTTAAAGTTCCTCCATTTTCTTCTATCTAAAATTGTTAGAAACTGTGATAGGGAAAACTTGCTGATCTGTGATTCCTAATGTGTTACTCATTTGCATTTTTTTTCTTTTTTCTTAATTTTTGTTCTCTCTCCCCCTACTTTACACAGACTTATCAACGACTACAGCTGATGCATAAGGCATTTGCAAAGCACAATAAAATGAGGAAAGAATGTGAGAATGGAAGAGGTACTCTGGCATCAAAACTTTTTTTTGGTTTTTTTTTCTTGTGGTGAAAAAGGAATATTGTTGTATGCTAATACATTTTCTCTGTCTTATTTTCCACCTGAATAAAAGCTATCCCTTAACATTTTACACTTTAATTTTGAGGAGAAGAACTAAAATCTAGTCCTTGGGCCTTTCCTTGTACCCCAAAGATACGTTCACTTTGAAAGTTTTTCTGCCTAGCTAAACATTATTTTGGAATACCTTCCAGTCAAATATATGCCTGTCTGGAAAATGAAAAATGTGCTCTTCTAAGGCAGAGGAGAGATTTGGGTGAGGTTCTAACCCATCTGTGATAGTGCAGTGCATTACTTTATGAATGAGTATCTGGGAAATAATCACCTGATGAACTTCGTACTCTCTCCATTCTGCATGGTGTGTTCTCTAGGCAGTTCTGGCCCTGAAAGCCTTTTTGCCTTGTTCACATAATTGCTAGTGGGCCACTTTCACTCCTTGGCTCAAGTGGGAGTTTTCTTGTGTTTTGTTTTCCACAGGAACTGTGCTGGGTTTCTACTACTTAGATAATTTGCTTTTGTGCTCGGTGCTGCAAGCTGAAAGTGATGACGGCCTCTTAGATCAAACACGTGGGAAATGTTTTTGGATGCTACAATACTACTTTGTTAGCAGACTGTGTTGTTTATCTGTCCTTCAGCTGTTACTTGAGCTCCTAGCTATGCAGACCAGAAGAAGCGGAAAAACAGGAAACGCTGCTGTTAACGATTTTGTATTTGCATTTATTTGACAGGCTTTGATCGTCATCTTCTGGGTCTCCTGCTCATAGCACAGGAGCAAGGACTGCCAGTGCCAGAACTGTATGGGGATAAGGCCTTCACAGCTAGGTAATTCATATTCTTGTCCTGTGGGGAGCTGTATCCCTTGATACCAAGGCCTTTGTCGCATGGGCCTTATATGTTCTGATTTCTTAATGTCTAGGATAAAATAACTGTTTTATTAAACTCACTTTGTTTTAAATTGCCTTTAAAAGTGCTGCTTTTGTTTTGTGTTGTTTTACAGTGGAGGAGGTGGGAATTTTGTCCTTTCAACTAGTCTGACTGGCTACACTCGGTTTAGTGGATCTGCACTCCCTATGGTACAACATGGCTATGGCTTTTTTTATTCAATCAGAGATGACAGGTAAGGTTATAATTTCATTTTAGGTATGGCTCTGCCTTTACCACAGAGGGAGAGGTGGCTAACAATTAGAATGAGGAAAGGAAAAGACAGAAGAAATATGGCTGAACGTGTCAGGAGAGGTTGAGAAGTGAGGTACATGAAATAGAGACACTGATGTTCTGGGAAAGCATATGTGTGAGGCAGGATGAATGGTTGAGGTGAAGTGAGCACCAAGATACTGACAATGAGCAGAAAGTAAAGGGTGGGGAAGGTGAAAGAAGGGAGTAACAAAAAAAGTTAACTTACTTTAAAATAGGCTGTCATTTTAGAGATCATTTGTAACATGCAGAGGTGTTTTTTAACTGAGCTAGAGCAGATAAAAGTACAGATGAGCACACTGCCCATCGTTCATGGAGTGACACACACAACTCAAACCAGACCTTTTTTGAGTAACAATAAGAGGCTAAAACATTTGGTTTCACTTCTGAAGTCATGAGATTTGAGAAGATTCAACTTTGGCTTATTGGTCTTACAGACAAAAATTACTGCTTTTTTATGAAATCTAAAAATACATCAACTAGAATGTGTAGAGATAAGTTGCTGGTTTATGACTTAGGTGTAATTCAAATGACTTCTTCCTAAAGCTAAATATGGATTGCATGCACATTTGAATCAGTTTGAGTATACAAACCATTTATACTTTGATCTATGGCTCTCTTAAAATAATTGGAACTAGATAAAGATTTACCTTTCATTAGGTAAATAGAAAAAAAAGTACTTAAAACCTTAAACTAGTTGCAGAAGAAGAATTATAATTTACAGCATTTTCAAATATAAGCAGAAAAGTAGTGTCACTGCATATGTAGTAATGGGTATTTAAATCAAAGTACCTGGTTTCAAGATCTGTCAGCATTATTGCTTACTGAAGGCACTAGTGATCTGAGTCCTTTATTAATGTTAAGACAGTATGTTCGTGTGACAATTTTTACTTCAGAGTTTGTGTTCCCTTGTGTGACTTCATCCTAGACCATGACAATTAAGTGTGGTAACCTCATTGTTTTCTATATTGATAGGATTGTTGCAACCTGTTCTTCTTGGAAATCATGTCCAGAGACTGATGCAGAAGTGCTGTGTAGAACTATGTTCCAGTGTTTTCATGACATGCTACAGTTAACAGTCACAGCTCAACTGTAAGCTTGATAATGATGTAAAAGGCTTTGCAAGGTCACGAGTTATAGGTAGTAATTAAAAATGAAATGCTATTCAAGAGTACTGTTACATTCAAGACATTTAATGATCTATGTGAAGTCTTACCTACTTTTATGTGATTTACTGTGGTAACAGTACCCCTTGAAGAGTAATGTAGCCATTTGCAGCAGCAATGCAAGCAGTAGTACCTTATCTGTGTAGAACTATGCAATATTAAAATATGCCTCAACAATGCAAATGTACTTCGAGACAAGATGTTGGAGTGGAGAACTGATGGGAGACTTGTATTTATGATCTCAGTAGTAGCATGTAGAAATGTAGAATAGTTTGTAGCCTACTGATACTGTTTATGCCAGTGGAGCACTTAACTGTGTACTTAAGAGTAACCACACTACCCTCTTAGGTGATTATGCTTCCTGTTCACAGTGGTTTGTGAAACAGAAGGGCTGCCTCTATTAGGTTATATGGTATAAGTTATCTTTCATTTTTGCTATCAGGATTATACCAAATAAATCTTGTATCCATTAATGGGGATGTTCCCACTACATTTGTAGTATGAGAACACTACAATCTGAAGTATTTTGAAAAAGAATTACTCAATAAAGACAGAAAGCAGCATGGGTTTCAAATTTCTTAGTTTTCATCTTCTAGTGAACTGTGAATATCTGCTGCTTTACACTAATAGTACACAATAAAAATAAGCACTGAATTGTTTGATATGGTTCTCAGGATTTTAATACTTGATTCCTCTGAGCAGCTTTGTATTTTCCTATCATAGAAATAAAATTCTTCTAAAAATCAACTTTGTATTAATTGATTTATGGCTGGACTGTTTATGTGTAGCAACACTGTGTGAGAGAGATGATCTTGGGAACAGGTGAACTTGAAATTAGGATTCCAAAGTACCCTTTGTTTTTTCTCTAGCTTGTAGAGTTTGAGAGAGATCTTATTATTTGTTTTACAGAAACAGCTTCATTCTTAACTAACATGGAGCCAGTTTCTGTGCCCTCTGGAAGCACTGTTGCATATTTATTGTCCACAGTAGTGAGAACAGTTTCCCTTTTTATTTCCTCCCTCAAAGCCTGATACTCCTCTATAAGCCACGGTGTTACACTGTATCTTGTTACCTCAAAAAAATGGTGTCCTCATTTCAGCCTTTGTCTTCCCTGCCTTTACTGGGCTACTTGTATGTTCTCTCTCAGTTAAATCTGACAACCATTCATTGTTTAATGTTTTATTTGAGATCTTCCAAAACTCATGCAGAAAAAGAATCCATTCCTGTTCAGCAGTGCTTATAATAACTCACCCTCTTTCTTGGACATAAATGACTTTGTGAAATCTCTCAAGTAGTGAAGCCTGTGTCTTTATGATGCTGTGACTTCTGTGAGATAGATTAGGATTTTGGATCAAGCCAGGCCTGCTGATTTTTATTCTCTATTTTAATAAGTTCTGTTTGACAGTTTACCTTTTACCCCTCAGCTGCGTTAGTAAACCTGGTTGCAACTGCAGTAAGGACAGTTTGCTTTGAACGTTGATTTGAAACAGCCTGAAATTTGATGAAGGGTATAATTTTGCATTTATTTTCCACACACCTACCCCTGCGTTTCTGGGGCTTTCTGGGAACATAGAAAGCCTGACGGAAGCACAGAAAAAGGAAAACTATTTCAGAAAGTGTGTATCATTGAGAAAATGGCATTCAGTCACCAGTGTAAGCAGAATTTCCTGTTCAGCTGAGAAGCTCTGAACCTTGCCTAGAGAAACTGAAGTGTATCCAGAGAGAAAAAAATTTCTGTGAGTTGTTAGAGCTACTTGTTATGTGCTGTGGATAAATGAATTCCTGACTGTGATATTAATTTCCTTGTTGAGTAAAGCATTTTATCTCCAGTGCCTCTGCCCTGAAGGCCTCTCCTTGTTTTTGTGCCCTTCTCTGTGAGCACCCATGCTGTGTGCTGCAGAGCTGATCTCAGTGCCTGGAACCCTCCACTTAGCAGTCCTTTGCTTGCAGTTTGGCAAGTCAGTGGGGCTTTTCCATGACTGCTGTATAATCTTTAATTTGAGCAACTATGAATTTTTGTACTGGTAAAAGAAGAGGATTGGGTTCTTAAAGCAAATGTAGCTCAGTTATTTATTATATAAAGGAAACTTTAAGGAAGCTTTTAAGGAAACTATTTATAGAATTGTACCAAAACCACATGTAGTGAAGCATCCTTAACAGTCTCATACAAAAGGCTGAGGCTGCTGTACAGGTGCCCTTGAGCAGCTGGTACTGCCCCCTCCCATGCATTTCTCATTAAATAATTGCAACTTAATCCTCCAAAGAGTTCCATTATAAAATCATCTTATAATCAAATAACATGTTGGATAATTTTGTATTCTAGTTTCTAAGTATGTTGTGCTTAGTATACACACTTGAAAGCAACATCCCCTCAGTTACCTCAGCCTTTTCCATATGTCAGGTGACCAATTATTCCATTTCCTTCCAGAGAGGATCTGCATTTTCCCTCATCTTCCTTTGATCACTGACAGAAGCTTTTCTTGTTGCCCTTGGCATCCCTGGCCATACTTAATTCTGTCAGGGCTTTTGTTTTCCTGGTCTGATCCGTCTGCTCAGACAATTTCTCTGTTGTTCCCAGGCTACCCGTTCTTGCTTCCATCCTCTCTAGGCTCCCTTTTTGTGTTTGACTTTGTCCAGGAGCATCTCTTTCATCCATAAAGACCTGTTGACATTTTTGTCTGGCTTCCTTTTTGTTAGAATGGACTGCTCCTCAGCATGGATGTGGCACTTAGTGCCGTGGTCTAGTAACCACGGTGGTAGTGGATCAAGGGTTGGACTTGATGATCTCAGAGGTCCCTTCCAACCTGGCTGATTCTATGGAGGAGGAAATCCCTGAACATTAACCAGCTTTCTTAGGCCCCTCTTCCCTCCAGGGCTTTACCCCATGATACTCTACCAAACATATCACTGAAGAGGCTGAAGTCTGCTCTCTTGAAGCTGTGCGTCCTCCTCACTGCCCTGAGGATCTTGAACTCCACCATTTCATGGTCACTGCAGCCAAAGCTACTCTTGAGATTGAAAGTCTCTACCAGCCCCTCCTGTTGGAGAGAGCAAGGCCCAGCATAGCATCTCTCCTTGTTGGTTCCTCTATCAGTTGGAGAAGGATGTTTTCATCAACACAATTCCAGGAACCTTCTGTGTGCCTTCTTTACAAAATTTCTGTAACAGAAAAAACATATGATCATATTGTACATTCACTTGTAGTAATCAAGAATATGAAGATTATCCTATAATTCAAGGGATTCCACAAGTCCTTAGTCTTTGAAAGTAAAATATTCTCCAGCTCTCTGTAAGATCCTAACCTAAGACATCATTGTTCCTGTATGCTTGGGTGCCCTCTCTGCCTGCAAGAACCAATGAGGCTATTGGGAAAGAAGAAGAAATTGCTCTAACTTTGAATATTTATGGCATGTACAATTTGTATTGCCTTCACCTCATACATTCATTAAAATTATTTTCAAAATTATAATACAGTTGCAATTCAAATTTTCACCTGACACACGAGGAAAATCTTCAAGAACTTTTGAATTTCTACAAAGCAGAAATTATTTCTACAGAACAAATCTTTGTGCTTTATCTATATTGAACCAAATCAAAAGACAATTCATGAAGTTTCATGTGATCTGCAATAGTACTTGATAAAAGAGCAGAGTGAACAAATACATAAGCTGCTCTGCAGGTCCACCCTTCTGGATCTTACCTCAGGAAAATCCCACTGATTTTTATAGGGATGTTACCTAAACATACAGGTAAAAGCTGCCTTTGGTTTGTAAAACAATAGATTCCCTCAGAAGAAAGTGCTGTGATTATAATGATTATAAGAATTATTAAAGCCTCCATTTCAAGAATTACAGCAGCCCTTAACAACATCATGGAGACTTCAGGGGAAAATAGGTAATTTAGAACATTACCTTAGAATGATATTTAAAATGTCAAGAACATTAGCTTAAAGGGAAAGATAATATATATTTTTTATGTCAAAGCTGAGTTTAGAATGGAAGATTTTATTGTGCACTGACAGAGATAATTTGTCACTCAGTTTATTGGTGTTAATTTATGTTCATTTTTAAAAAGAATGTTTCAATATATATATTTTTAAGAAGCATTCTTAAACCTGTGTCATGCTTGCCAACTTTGTCCATACCTAAGCTCATTTTTTTTCCCTGAGTCAAAGTAACAACAATTCAAATATTTTCTATTTGAAAAAAGAAAAATTTTCCAAATTTGCTTCCAAAGCAATCTGTGTCTAGGAGCAGATATTAATCAGCAGAAAAAAATTATATGGATATTTCTAGACATGATTAATAACTGCCATAGAAGTATGTCTACATACTGTTGAAAGCAGAGCTGCAACATTTTTAGATATGCTGCTGTTAGATATATCCAATTAGAATGAATTATAACAGTGAAGTAGAGGCAGCATACATTCCAGCACAGGCCAGCAATGAGAGTTTATTTTCCATTGGTCTTGTGCAACCTGTCATGAGGATAATGTCAGCAGCTGTCATCACTGCAGGAGCACAGTCAGGATAAACTGAACAAGCCCACATCACCTGCAAATGCATTTGGAACTGCATGTGTCCACATTTTCAAAAGCAGCTAGTGATTTTGAGCTCACCCATAAAGAAATTATCTTTCACAGGGTATGTTCTCAGCATTTTTTGAAAATCGGGAGTTTTTCAAAACTCCTAAAGGAGAAATTCCAAACTCCTGGCCATTTAAAACTCCTAAAGGAGAAACTTGGAACCACTGGCCATTCCTAAAATGAATTGTGTGCTTATGGATTGTACCAGGAGCTACTTGACTCATTAGATAAGTGTATGACAAATTTTGCTGCTCATAAGGAAGGCATGAAATACATTTACTCTCTTTTAGCTATGTCATTTTTTCACTGCCTTTTAATGAGAGTAGTTTATTTTTACTTATGGTGTATGAAGATGGCATTTCTCCACAGGTAGTTCTCCAGGAAGAACCTCTCTTTTAAAAAAGTAGATTTCTACCTAGAGTTAAAATAGATGCTTGAGGCTTGTTTTCCTTCAGGTTTACTTGATATGTTGTGAGTGAAACATTTTGCTGAATTGCATATGTTTTAAATTTTGCCAGAAACTGGGGATCTGCAAAAAAATTGTTTTGGTTAATATAGTCTGCCAAAACCAGATATTCAGGTCATCATCTAACAGTCATGTAACTCATCTTACAAATAGTCTCCAAGGAAGTTGGCGTGAGATGATAATCAGCAATGTGACTATGAGATAACTTTGAAATGTTTCAGTGCATTAGAATGCACTCAATAAGGTTACTTGTTTGGCAAAACTTTACAAATAATTAGTGACAGTATTACAATTTTTTTCTTGGTTACCCTATCATGTAAAGAACATGTTTCTTTCTTTTCGACACATATATTCTTTTAAAAATAAATCTCTTCTAACTTCTTATTTAGACTTGTGAATCATCAGCTTTTACTGTAAATGTAGAAAACAGCTTGGAAGCAAACATGACTTGCCCTCCAACTCAAGAAGCCTTGAAGTGCTAAATTCAAGAGCTAACCTCCAAAAACTTAACTATACCCATACATTTAGCAGATCCTTCTCTCTACGTAAGGAGTAGAATAAATGCTTAGACAATCTACAAACACAAAACACAACAGATTAAGTAACATATAATCATGGAGTCATGAAGGTTGGAAAGACCTCTAAGGTCGAGTCCAACCATTTAATGCAGCACTGCCAAGCCCACCGCTAAACCAT